TTAAACTCACATCCATTGGGCAGGAGAGGCTCATGAATTGAGTGGAATCATAGAAATGACTGATCAGATTACCGACAACCTTTTATACGCGCCCCGCCCCTTTGCCATTCAACTTGCAAAAGCAAAAACATCAGTTTAATCTGACTTTTTTCTAATTCAATTCAACTGCAAAAGATCGTTTCTTGATGATTTAGAAAACTTTTTCTCCGGTTTTAACAACTAAACGACTTTTAAGTCTCATGCTAGATTTCTTTTTTGTTTCAAATGCTTTCCTGAACTTATAACCGGTGAAGAATTGTAGAAATACTTCTTTGGCAACGATTTATCAAAAAATATAAAATCCTTGAACTTTCCAGCTTTGCCATATTGAATCTCAAAAGATCTTTTAAATTCTTTCAAAATTTCTTCTACTTTTCCTAAAGTTGGCTAGATTCTTTGCTCCCTAGCCTTTTCCGCATTCCTACACTCAATTTACATCAAAAATTGTCTCTGAATTTAATTAGATCTTGCTTTTTTCCTTTCACTTTTTTGGAGTTGAGTTGACGTTCTCTTTGGATTGAAATGATTGAATTAAAAAGAAAAACAAAAGACTTTGAGACCAGGAATTTGCGGAAAAAAGACTTTTATTTTCTTTGATTGAGTTGAATCAAGTTTTTCTTTGTTCTAGAATCCTCAAATTCTTCAATTTCAACTGCAACTTCCGTAACATTCAAAAATCTTGATGTTCAAATGCATTTCTTGCATCAATCTTGAATTTGCATAGCCTTTGAACATTCTTTTCACTTCAGGGTTTCAATACTGTTAGTTCTCCTTGCAACTTCAGCATTTTAACAAGTTTGAGTCAGTAAAATCCATTCTGCGGAGTCCAGACTCCAGGTTTAGGCGGCTTTCAGGAGATTTTTGAATGAAGAATCAAACTTTGAGGTTTTACCTATCGAATTCAAGGTTTAACCTATCAAATTCAAGGTTTAACCTATCAAATTCAAGGTTTAACCTATCAAATTCAAGGTTTAACCTATCGAATTCAAGATACTTTTGTTTCTTTGCCCAAGTTAATTGGCAAATTGATTGACATCTTACTTCATTGCTTTTTAGCTGTTTTATCCCAGTTTTGAATATGATTTTGAAATAGATTTGAGCTAGAATTAATGAATAAAAGCCTAATAAAGTCATTTATACTATTTTCTCCAAATATTTATCAAACTAGAGACATTCCTGAGTAAATTTACATTTATTCTGTTTTGGTTGGCGGGGGGAAATGCAAAAAGTGCCCAATTTAGTCCTATTTGGTCTCGTTTGATAGCCTGAACTGTGCCAAAACAAAAGCTGAAGCTTACTTGTTACACTTAAAATTGTTCCAGAGTGGTAAAAAGAAAGATAGCAAGGGGAAAAGCTTTCCTAACTTGCTTTCCTCTTTGCTATTTTTCTTTTTACAACTCTGGAACAATTTTAAGGGTAACTTCGGCAAGAAAGCTCGCCAAGATCTCCAATTTTTACTTATCCTTTCGTTCTCTAATCAAAAATTTGGCAAAAGCAAGTTCTAGGAGTCATTTTTCTTATATTTCAAGTTTCAAATTCCTCAATTTCAACTGCAACTTTCGTAAGGTTTAAAATTTGATGCAAGGTTTAAGGTTTAATGACTCTTATCAAGCTTAGGAGACTTACAAGGCATTTTGAGGAGTTCAGGAAATTTTTAAACGAGGAGCAAAGCTTTAAGCAAAGCAATCTATCCAATTTAGGCTTATTTTGTCTCATTTGAAAGCCGAAAATGTGCCGAAATAAGAGCTGAAAGTTCATTTACAATTCTTGGGTACTTTCTTCTTGATATTTTTCATTTTAAACTAACTTTGGAAGAATTGAAAGAATTTTAAGTAACTTTAAGTGTAACTTCCCCTGAGAAAGCTCACTAAGATCCCCAATTTTTACCTACCGCAAATGTCTGAGGCTTCATCAAAAGAACTACGAGTATCAGCGGCAAAAGAGGTAAAGATTGAAACAGAACTTACCGTAAATACTGTAATAGTACTCCACCACCCTCGTACAGTCGCGTAGTCGCAAAAGTTTTTTAGTATTTCATTTTTTTTCATTTTCGCCGGCGCTGTTTTAATCAGCTCCCGAGAATTAAGTACAATTGTGAGAATGAAAATGATAATGGAGTATAATGATAATGGAAAGCCCACCTTCTTCCATCCAAATTGGTGCCCGAGTTGAGATTGAACTTCGCTTTTGACAGTTATCGCGATCCGAGATTAATAGATCCAATAAATCTGCAACGGTCCTACAAATGAGCTCACAAAAGTCTCCTCGTTTGTTGTACGATTCGTAGCGTTGGGTTAAAGATTGCTTGAATATAATATACCGTAAATACTGTAATAGTACTCCACCACCCTCGTACAGTCGCGTAGTCGCAAAAGTTTTTAGTATTTCATTTTTTCAAAGCGCCCGTACTTTCAAAAAATGTATCTTTGGTATCAAAAAATAGCCCTGAATTTCAGCTATTTTTTGATAACTAAGCGCCTATCATAGCATAAACCAGTGCCGAGAAACACTCGTTCAAAGCTAGACTACCCAACACTCCGCACCGTCATTATGGGGCTGGGGTACTATTACAGTATTTACGGTAGGTATTGTAGATATTCTAGACACCGAATTGTAGCCACCAGTAAAATCCAGTATTGGAGAGGATAGCCGCAAGTTATCGCAAAGTTTTTGCGCTATATCTTGGCTAAAGCTTTGCGAACTGATTTAATTCCTTTTCATTATGAAAATTGCGATAATTTTCTACCCGAATTTCTTTATAAAATTTGTAGAATTTTTCGGGAGATTTTTAAGAAAAGCTTGAAAACAACCCACGAAACTCAATCTGCAGGCTTTTCAGGATGTTTTAAGCGCACTCACATGGTTCTTTTTTATCACATTTGACTCTTTTCTAGTTAAAAAGCTTAAAACAAATATTTTTCAATAAAAATCTTCAACTATGTGGTTTTTTATGAGCTCTGGATCATGCAATCAGCTACTTGAATGAATTTTTCTTGAAACTGGCAACTCTGAAATTGAGGGCTATTTTTTGATACCTAAGCGCGCATTGTAGCATAGAGCAGTGTCGAGAAAAACTAGCTAGACTACGCAACACTTCGCACCGTCATTATGGGGGTGGGGTACTATTCGGATTTACGGTAAGGTAACCAAGATAACTAGTGAATTTGGTTTGACTTGTTAGTTGGGGACTAGCAAGACGTCCACCAAGGGGGCGAACTCGGATGCCAAAATGGAGGCAGCACTACCGCGCCCATCTTTTGGTGGCGACGGTGCCCTTACAAATTTATAGTCGCTTCTGGTGGTCAATTTCAAATCTGTTTCTATGATCTAGAGCGTGGCAAACTAAAGCGCCATCGTGTTGCCCGTGTTCGACTTGCGTAAATCATATGGTCGGCTTTGTTCAGATTTGCGCTTGGAACTGACCATTCCCAGTTAGACCTAGATACATCGTCGTTGGGGAGTTATGAGTCGGCGCCAAACTTTAAAGGGACTTTTTGCACACATAAAACCTTCTTTAAATACACGTTTTGTTTCATCAAAATGGTCCACTATTTCTTTACAAAATGGCTTTTGAGAGATTCCACAAAGCTTTTCTTTTTTGGGATTTTATGGATTCCCAAACACAGCTAATCAAAATGACAAAAAGTCCGACTCATTGCTTGAACAGTTTCTTCCACATAAACCTTCTTTGGTGTTTATATAAAAAAGATAGAGCACACTCAATTACATAAGTTACCAAATTTTCAGGAAGATCCCTCCAACCGTTTACTCTAGATGACAGTTTATCGATCATTTTGTGAAAAAAATGATCCTTTGTTGAGTTGAGGCGCTGTTTGAGTTCTCTTTTAAATATTATTTTGTAGAGAATTAGTTACCCTTCTACAGATATCAAACGCATATCATTTGACAAAGTCTGCTATAAGTTTTAGAAATTTCTTTGATTTTCGGCACCGACTCATTCTCCCCAACCCAATATTACAGGTATCCTTTTGTTCTCTAATCAAAATATGCCCAGTTTCTAGGATTTCCAGTTTTCAAGCAAATTCTAGAAGTAATTTTGATGCGAAAAATCACTTGTACTCAAATTTTATCGATATTTTCGTGCAAATGATCAAGAAATTTGCTAGTTTTGAGTGAAATTTCTGAAAAAGTTCGTCCAGTACTCAAATTTACCATTATTGCCAAAAAAAATCTCATTTTCTTATCCCAATCTTTCCTGAACTTTTTCTTCGTTCTCTTCATATCCTCACTTTCTATAGAACAATTGCTACCGGATTTTCATTAAATCCATTGTTTTCTGAAGCTACAATGTCCAAAATATATTATTTACTGATCTTCTTCTTGGAAAGATTACAGAAAATCTCTAAAAATTAGTTCTAAAGTTCTACAAAGTCTGAAACAAGTCTGCGACAAATCTGAAACGTTTTCAGGATCTCTTCAATGCTCACTGATACCGAAATTTTTCATTTCATCGGTTCGACAAACACTTTTTTCACTTATATCACAAATTTGCTGTTAATTTTTGTGATTTTAAGGTAAGTATTTTAAGGTTTTTTCAAGTAAAGATACAGTACTAGACAATGAAATATCATATTTGAAAAAAAAATCGTCACTTTCGCGCGTCTGTAACTTCCTTGTCTTTACCGTATTTCTAAATATTAATATTACCATTGTGTAGCCCTTGAAAAGAGCTTTCAGAAAATGTATAACACTAATAGTTTAAGCCCAAAGACAAGGGAGTTACAGACGCGCGAAAGTGACGATTTTTTTTCAAATATGATATTTCATTGCCCAGTACTGTATGTAAATTTGAGAAAAAATGAGGCTCATTATCTTGGCTTTAAATAAAAAGTCGAAAAGTGAGACAGTTTTCGCTTACTGTAGATGAGAAAATACTTGAATTTCGTTGATTTCCATCGTTTAGATTCTCCCGTAAATCGCTGGGCTCGTATCGATATTTGATGATCACTTTTGCTCTTTTTGATATAGTTTACTCGTCGAGTCATCCACTATCGAATCCGGTGAGAAATTGACGAGAAAAATTACCAGCTTTGAGCCAAAAAGTCAACATTCAATGACAGGATTAAGCGAAAAAGCCAAAGAAAAGACTATTGGCTATTATTGGCTATTGGCCAAACTACTCTTTGGACAATTGCAACAATTGAAATCAAAGGCTTGGTAAAGTATTAGGTTGTCCAGTTATAAATGCGCGTTTTTGAGGGCTTATTCCAAATATTTCTGCAAGTTCACGTGTAGTTTGTCGAGGATCAATTTCGATCGCCTGTTTAAGTACTGCATTATCGATCGTAGGAGGCCGGTGGTCCTCATCTCCCAAAAATTCATTTCCTTCTCGAAATCGTTGAAACCATCGCCGACACTGGCTTTTCGAAATAGCATCTTCGCCAAATACTTTGCAGAGATCTCGATGAGATTCAGCGATATTTTTGCCCAATTTGAAGTCATACCAAAGACTGGCACGGAGACGAAACTTCGTGTCGTTCACAGAAATAAAATAAGAATAGGCTATTATTGGCTATTAGCGAAACAGGGAACAGGGAGATAGGAGTCTTGTGCAGTGCGTGAGAGAGTACCGATGTGGCAATGATTATTTAGATATTTATTCCGAATATAGCACAATCACTAATCTAGCGAGAAAATATAATAAAATAGAATCAATCGTTGGTTCAGTGTTTCAAAGCCAAACGAGAAAGAATACAAAGTGGGCTCCGTCCCTTTTTATCACACAAACGATCTTCAGAAGAAGGACAAGAGAATCAGAGATATTCAAAAGCAAAGCATCAAATAAGATTTCACAGAAAAGAGCTACTTTTCTGCACAAGTCTTGTCTCCTAGTCAGGGGGTTAAGGTTTCGATCCCGGTGGCTAGAAAGATTGGTTCTTTTTCCCGTTATTATGGGTTTTTTTCTTAACAACATTTGGGTAATAGGGGTAATTAGGAGTAGAAATTTCCTCTGTTGTTTTGTAATTCATCATTCGTGTCGAATAAATATACTCTTCAAAACACGACTTTATGTCTTAAAAAGTCTTCCCGTTCTCATTGTTGTTTGGTTGAGGAGCACTGGCTTTGCCCGGGTGGTTTTCGTCCATTTTGGAATCACCGATTTTAAGGAGACTAGGGTTGGTGTAAGATTGAGCATTTTGTTAAAAGCTTAAGAGATTTAGACTTGCATACAAGTCTTTTAGCTTTTAAAAGACTTTTAGATTTAGATTTTGAATCTAAAGTTGAAATTTAGAACTAGACACGAGTAGCTTTTGCGAAGAGAACTTTATGTGCAATTTCAGAGATTCAATTTCAAGATTTCAGGATCAAGCTCTTCTAAAAACCACGAATTTCCATATTTTTAAAGATATTCAGTTAATCAGCTCATTTATAAGCGATCCTATATAAAAGATTCAAAATTTGAACCATTTTTTTCGATCTGATTGATTCGATTTCGATTTCTTTCGATCCTTTTAATGTTTTTGAAAGTCTAAGATACAAAAGCTGAGTTCAGAATTGTTTCTGAATTCAAATTTTACTTCTCAAATATCCTGAAAGTTCTAGCAAATTTGCAAATTTAAGTTCAAAGTTGAGAGCTCTAGTTCTCAACTTTAAATTGACTTTAAATTGAGGTTAAATTGATGTTAAATTGACGTTAAATTGAAGTTAAATTGACTTTAAATTGACTTTAAATTGACTTTAAATTGAAAACTCACCCATTGTCAGATCTGTTTAAAATATTGATATATTAACTCTTTTTTTGGCTACAACTTAATCAATTTAGATAATGTTCACTCATCGTCATGCTTTTATCGTATTTGCAAGTGGTCCATTGACGGGACATTGGATCTCTCTCGGTTACTGTGCTCTATTTTTTGCCTTAAGTCTCACCCTACTTGCTGGCCATTTTCTGTATCGATATTTATTGATTTGCAAGTAAGAAAACTAGAAATAATCAAAATTTATTGATTTTAGAAATAATTGGATGTTTATCTTCAATAAATTACAATTTCTTCCCTTTCTCATTGTTGTTTGGTTGAGCACTGGCTTTGCCTGGGTGGCTTTCGTTCATTTTGGAATGACCGATTTTAAGGAGACTAGGGTTTGTGTAAGATTGAGGATTTTGTTAAAAGCTTAAAGGATTTAGACTTGCATTCAAGTCTTTTAGCTTTTAATAGACTTCTAGATTTAGATTTTAAACCTAAAATTGAAATTTAGGACTATACACGAGTAGCTTTGCGAAGAGAATTTGATATGGATGCGGACAAGGTTCAAATGGTTGGACCATTATTTTTTGTGAGTTTATTCATTGAGCTTCTAGAATTCTTAAGGTTTAGCTTCTGCAGAGTGATCTAGTACCAAAAATCACAAAAATTGAAACTCGTTCTACAGTCTGACAGCAAAGTAGCGACAACTTTTTGGAAAACTATCTGGCAAATGTCTAATTTCTTTCAAAAGTGGCAAGTGTTATCTAGGGAATTGTAACCCTAATTCTTGGCAACATTTATCTATTAAAAACTTCTCGATTAGACTTATACAACTTATTTTACAAGCGCTTGAAGGAGCGCTAGTTAAATCTGTCAATCTCTTCAGCGAATCTGTCATTTGGTCGCTTTTTTCTTTTAAAAATTTTATTTGGAAAAGCCTTTTTCAATCAAAATTTGTGATAATTTTGTCTAAAAAATTCTTTTCAACAAATTTATAGCACCAGAACAGCTGATATAACGAGCTGAATATCGAAAATACTCAATTTTCACCTTTTTCCCGGCTCCGGAGCTTGACATCAACTTAAATTTTGGTGCCAGTTCAACCAAAACAACTAACTTTAATTTTTAATGTTATTAAGTGATGTTTAACGATTTTGCCTTAAAGAAAAGCTTTTCTTAACAATTTTTAATAGAGAAAAGCGGCCAAATGACACATTCGCCGGAGAGATTGACAGATTCGACGAGCACTCATTTAAGCGCTTGTAAAATAAGTTGTATAAGTTGAATCGAGAAGTTTTTGGTTGATAAATGTAGCCAAGATTAAGGGCCAGTTTTGTAAGAAATTAAACATTTTCCAGATAGTTTACCAAAAAGTTGTGGCTACTTTGCTGTCAGACTGTAGAACGAGTTTCAATTTTTCTGGCTAGAGCTAACTTTTTGAGCTAACTTACTAGTACTAGAGTAATAGAGTTAACTTTTTATTCTTTTTAGTCTAAAACAAGTCTAGGTCCAGCTCCAGAACTAGAGATTTGACCTGAACGGTTCTGGGAGTTGAGTATTGGTTAGTATTGACAATCAATTTAGAACCAGATCCAATTTCTCATCAAATTTCAAATCAATCAAAGATATTGTACTCTTTAGAAAGTAGTAATCAAAGATATTGTATTCTTACCCAATCAAATTTCAGTTAGATGGACCAACGAATAATCTCATCATTTTCTGGCCAGCCTGGTTTGCAATGGCCGGCTGTTTCAGCATTTTGGGATCAACGTTTGGGTAAAGTTAGCCTAACGTCTGGAAAATACAATTCCTTTAGCATGATCCTCTTTTGCTCATTTGAAATCCACTCAAAATTAAAATCCTGTACAATGAGTGAGAAATCGAAGCGACTACAGTATGAGCTGTTTAAAGCATTGATTGTACAGGTTAGTTTACCAGAGGCAACTTGATCAACTAGTCTGCTATCAGCACTAATCGGTGCTGACTAACGTTCTGCATCTAGCCTAGTACTCATAGTCAGTCAGATCTACAATAGTTGGTCAGATCACAACTAGCTACTGACTCTTTTAATTAGACAGCCAAGCCAAGTCAAACTCAAACAGTTTAGGCAGTGATCCCAGCAATATTCGAGTACACTCCATGCTTGGTTGCCTTCAGTTCAGCTCTCTTTGGAATCCCATTGGGAAGATGGACAAATATCTGCCCAACTCTACTCACATTTTATACATGGCTTGACCCAATTTGCATCATTCTTTGTGTGAAAGACTATCGAATGGCGATTGGGAAGCTTTTGAGGCGGGCAAATGCTAATTTTAACTTGATAAGCGTTTTCCACTTTTGGAATTAAACTTTTAATAGTTTTAAGGAGTATTGTAGAATCTATAGTGCCGTTGGGCTTTTGTAAACATTTGTGTATTTAGTGGTCAAACGAAAATCAGCTCTCATCAAGAAACAAGCTACAGTATCCCGAGAAGCAGAGTCGATTCATATGCAAAGAAGGAGATCTCAAAAGATTGATTCATGACTTGTATAATATAAATAAAAGTCATTATCATTATTTGTAAATAAATCATTTATCCTATTTAATTTGCAAAGATATTTAAAGATTGAATGTAAATCATTAATACAGATAATTAAAGACAATTTCAAAGACAAATTGATTGCTCCTTGATTTTATTGATTGATTGCCAAATTGATTGCCTCCTAGCAAGCTACCCCTGGAATTGGTTGAATTGAATGGATTGAATGGATTGAATGGATTGAAACGGATTGAGTTGGTTTTGATCAATTAAGAATAGACTCACAATCCATTCTTGAGTCGACCAACTCCAGTAAGACCTCCAAGTCCGCCAGTTAATCCACCCAAACCACCAGTCCACTCACTTCACCAAGACCTTCAGTCAAACCACCAAGAGCATCAAGACCGGGAAGGACACTGAAATAAGATGAATGGGTTTCTGGATAAGAAGTTTCCCAAGAAGTGGCTCAATCAATCTCTCGAGGAGTTGACACACCAAATTCTGGACTGTTTGAAGGAGACCAATTTGTTGGATGAGTGTATTCTGGCCTGTTTGGAGGAGACCAATTTGTTGGATGAGTGTATCATCAACCATTCAACTCACTTACTAATGTTTTTTGTACATTTTCCCATGGTTTCGTGTTAATTGATGCAAAATTGCTAATTTAATTGTTATATGATGGGAAACTTCTCGACGGACTGAACTTATGAATGCAAAAGGAATAATCAAATAACTTTATTGAAATACTTTAAATTTCCTTACATAAAATATCACAGAAAGACATGTGGAACTGGTTTTGATACAGAGATTGACTCTGATTTTGAAAAGTAAATGAAAAATTTACTTTTCAAATGTAAACCTTGACTCCAAAAACGGCCAATTTAAGTGAAAAACCAAAAATTACCCAAAAATCAACAAAAATAAGGTAAAACAATCAAATGATTCATTCAATTTGTCATAAAACTGATCACTTCTCGATTTGCTTTCTCGTGAATGATTAGCGGATCAAGAACTCGATCTTTCATCAACGATTTCACTGTTTTTTTCATTAGTTTCTTATAGTCATCTTTCGACAAGCGTCCCTCTCGAAAGAAAGGTTTAACAATTTCGGCAACATGTCCTTCGACGAGTTTCTAGAAATGAACATTGGTTATTGCAAAACTACAGTAGCACTTATAGTAATCTTTCAATGATGAAAATACCCAAGAGTTGGCTGGATTTCCCAATAATCGACCCGTTACAACAAAATTATAAACAAGCAATTATCTAGCAAGATCTAGCAATTATCTTCATCACTATAGCTTGTTACTTTCTTTTAAATCTTGCCCTATGACTCACCAAATTTTGATCATAGAACTCTTGAGTGGAATTGGAAACGATGTGTGGCTTTTCGTGCTTCTCCCTCTTCGTGGGCTCCTTGTTCTCCTCTTGAACGTCCAATTTTCGCTTCGTTTTCTCTCTTTTTCCCTCATCGAGCTTTTTCACTGGAGAATCGGGGAAGTACTTGGGTTTTCTCTGAAATAAATCAAATTTAGTTTTCAAATGGCTTCTTGAGTAAAAGGCTTAGGCCCACTACTATATCAATTGTTTAGAATTTGATCACAATATGGTACACCTCAAGTCTTATTAAGCCACACTACAGTATGACAATTAAGCATCTGTAGCCTGACTAGCTTTTAGACTTCTTGCTATAAAACAAAGATATTCAGTCGTGAAATCTAGATACTTTTTAGTGGGAATACGGTAATCAGCCAAGAATTTGACAGTAACTCAGTTCAACGAGTTCAGTTCACTCGTTCAGTTCACAACTGTTGGAGTTGATCAGTCTAGTTCAAGCTTGTTCTGCAGTTATGCAAAACTCCCAAGTACATCAATTCTACTGTTGATCATTTCACTTCATACTATTCATTCTTTTGATTTACGCAAAAATGCTAAAAATAGCCGTAGAGAACACAAGTTAGATGAGCAATCAACACACTTTCCCCGTGTTCTCTTTTGTTCTCTTTCTCCGTTCAACAATACTTCGTGACCAATATGGAAATTTTTATATCAAAACAAGCCTAGATCAGACAGGATTTTAATAAAAAAAAATGCCTTTTTGCTAGTTTTTGACAGATTATTTTGGCAAGAGGAGGTGAAAATATTTTGAATATTTTTGACCACCGAAGATTGAATGTGGAAAATATTATGATTGGGAATGATTAGTATAAAAGCTGAGTGTTCGACAGTTAAATCATCATCTCCCAACCCAATTCTTTATCCTCATTTCTCATTCCGAGAAAATGTCCACCTCAATCTTCATCATCGCTTTCTTGGCCACTCCTCTATTGGCTGTAAGCCTTCCCCCAGTGTCTCTTCCAACTGTTACCCCGAAGATTCCAATTCCAAATGTGAATGGAGTTTGCAAATGCCCACTCATTCCAAATCTTCAAGTATTAGATTGTATCTTGGACTTCAGTAAGTTTCAATATGACTGAGAATTACAGCGGTTGCTGGCCAAGACTGGATAGTCCTACTTAAACTTTATTAGCTATTTTTGCCTTTAGTCAGCCATGTGAACATCTTGACCAAGACTGTGGAGACTGTGAATGGAACGAAATTCAACAAATACACTCTTCAACACTTGGAGATCCTTAAGGTATTCAATTCATGACTCAACATTCAATCCACTCCATTCTAGGGCGGTCTCGAACTTCCCTCAGTCGTTCTCGTTCCAATGGGTCCATGTGGATTGGAATTGGAGGCCAATGTCGAATATCTTCTCTCTGGAGTGTTGACCGGTGAATCGAATCTCTACTCGGGTCTCTGTCTTCAAATTTTGACTGGAGTTCTTTCACCCGTTTGGTCTTTGGTTGATGATTCACTCGTCCAACAAATCGGTCTCCTTCAAACAATCCAGAATCTGGTGTGTCAACTTCTCGAGGGATTGGTTGAGCCACTTCTTGGGAAACTTCTTGTGTAAGTCTTGATCTCAAAATATCCCATTCATTCAATTTCAGTGTCCTTCCCGGTCTTGATGCTCTTGGAGGTCTTGGTGGAGTTGGTGGACTCACTGGTGGATTGTGAGTCAATTCTCAGTTAATCAAAACCAATTCACTTCCAGGGGTCTCGGTGATTTGCTCGGTTGATTGTAAGCAACACAAAAGAATCGAATTGTTTGTGAATACTGTCATTCGTCTATATAAATGCTTTGAAATCAATTTTGGCTCAAGTCTAACTAAATACGCAAGTCTAGACACAAACAGAACCCATTGTAAACTCACCAATCCAGGTTGAATATCAACTAGAAAATCCTCGGCGTGAAACGATTCATTCAACAATGGAGGAACAACAGCAATTGGTGTGCCATCACGCTTTGAATGAGATGAAGATGGTGCTGGTTCGGCTAAATTAAAGATTACAACAAATCTGACATTTTTTTGGTTTTGTTTCTTAGAACTAATCGAAACAAGAGTCTTTACCTTGCATTTTCTTTTTCTCGGCCACAAACATCGATGACGAGGGGGTGATCATTGTTGGAGTGTAGGAGGGTACTGTAAAGCGATTGGTTGAAGTGATGAAAGCCAGAGAAAGAGAAAGACATGTCAAAGCCAATAATTTTGAATTGGCTTGGCTTGGAAAATTGGGTTCGGTTCAGGCTAGATGACTATTCGAACAGTCAAAACACCTCTGACCACGAGTAACTTTAAAAGTTGTGTTACCGTTTGCGTACCTGCAGTTGTGCTTTGCTTCTTTTCCGGTAAATAATTGCGAGGCCTAGCGGTGAGACTGTTTGCTATAAAAAGGTTAACATTTCTTTAACAAATTGACTCACTTTTGTAATTTGAACCGATCTCAATGCCAGCGTCTGGTTTTTGTGGATTGACTGTCGCAGCCTTGACCTCCATTTGACCAAAAGTTTTCGGCGGTACTCGTGATGGTTGGATATTTGTGGAAGCTGGAAATGAAACGGTTGAAATTTTAATCGATAACTGAAAGTTTTCTTTCTTTCCTAGACTTTAAAATCCACCTTTAGCATTTTCATCACTTTGTTCAGCTTTCTGCGCTTTTTTGAGTCGTGCGATGATTCCCTCCGATTCCTCTCCATTGTCATTGTAGTGATACTTTGTGTGTTGCTGCTCAAACTGAAACCATTCTATTCTATTATTTTTTCTCATACTCATCGAGCTAAATTCTAGGCTTAGACATTCAGCTTTTAAATAAACATTGAACTACAGTAATACAGAATTGTTTAGGCAAACATTGTAGACTATTGACCAAAACTATCTGATTTTCTCAGTTACCCCTAGAGCGTTAGCAATCCTCCCATCCATTCTCTCCGTAATCCCGGCTTGATATCGATCAAACGCATTGGTAGCCACCAATTTGTCGCCCTTTTGACGAAAGAATTTTCCTGGAGCGTGCGCTTGGGCTTGTTGGTTCAGGAGATCGCCCAAGAGGTCGCTGAAATCAAGAACGATTTAGTCTGAATCAATGGAATCTTCTAACGGGTTCTAGATCCTGTAAGGCAGACCAGACTTGACAAGGTCCAGGTCTGGCTTCTAGCGAATCCAGGCACTGTTTGTGGGTCAGTTCTGTAGCAAAGCCAGGTAAGGCAAGATCAGAACCTGACTTCTAACCTGTCCCTGACCCGTTTGGCTGGCCTGGTCCGGTTCCGGAACAATCCATAGTTTGATGCGAAGTAAAGAAGTTGGCTTAATTGTACAGTAAACTCACACTGGGGCATTATGCTGTGGCTCCGATTTTGCCATTGATTTCGGCTTCACTTGACTCTTTGGACGAACGGATGGCCGATCAAATAGACGGGAAAGTGCGGTCACCCTGAAATCTTGTTTTAAGACTTTGAGATTCCCAATTCATCACCTGTACTCGTCTGTGTGTTCCCCATCAATGATCCCAAGATTGTCTCCTCCAAAAAGTGAGAGCTTCTGCGATTCACGAGGTCTTCTAAAGTAGGAAAAACTGTCAAAAAAATGAAAAACTTTAGGACTACAACAAATTAAACTTTCAAATTCACCCCTCTTCTTTCGATTTTGCTTGTTGCGCTCCAAAGAAATCCTCCAAAATCCGACGCCTTCTCGTTGTCGGTTTCCTTTTCTGAAACATTCTGTAACTTCTCATCTTATCAACCAACCTTTCCCTTTCTTCGTTTCGTTTTTCTTTTTCTTGGTGTTTTCGATTTTCTCTTGATTGTCTTCTTTTTTGTAACTCTCGGCTTCTTGGGCTTTCTCCTCGGCCGAACAGATGGGACATCGACCATGTTGCTGAAAAAATATTGTTGAACCCGACTTATGTCAAGAAACCGCTTGCTTCTAGTTTTAAGCCTGTCATTTAGCATCTTCTAATTTCCGGGATGTACTTTTTACTTAATTGAAACACACTGGTGTACTCAAACTTTGGTGTTCTTGAGTAAGCCAGAAACTGTGGCACACTGCATACTCAAAGCATAAAGTGTGCTCTAACCAGGGTTCACAAAGCCAAAAGCCATGACTAGCCAAGCCAGCCTAACCAATCTGGGTCAAATCAAAGCTAAACCAAAGCCAATGGGTTTCAATTGGTTTTGGCCTGGCCTGAAATTCCAAACTTTTTGTTGGATTTGGCCTGTAAAAGTCTTGGCTTTAGCTCTTTCTCAATGTGACTTACCCAAAGTCATCATCGACGTCCGATCCGAGCACATGAGCATCAATCTCGTCAAAGTCGTCCCCTTCTTCTTCCTGAATAAAAATATTAACGTATAAAAGATTCACAAATGCAACAATACTTGAAATTTCAAATGCCCTTTATTGATTTGTCAGTGTTTGAGCCTTTAACACACCAACCTCTTCAGTATCAGATCGAAGTAGATCTCTCCGATTCACCCTTGTCGGTCCATCATCCTCCTCATCTTCCTCCTCCTCCTCCTCTTCACTTTCTGTTTCTTCTCCACTTTCCTCCTCTTCTTCGTCATCAACGATAAAACCATCCCTTTGATATCCATACTGATCCTGAACTTCCTCCTCCTCATCACTTGAGCCGCCACGAATCATACTGAAAATTAGCCATTAAAAACCAAAGATCGAGAGATCTGCAGTTAAAGTTAAAGCTACACTGAACTAAACTCATTTGCGCCTAGATTTAAACGTTTAAACTAGCAACTATCTACAACTTTATTAGCTTTATTTTTATATAGCCACAGTATCCCTTCATTGTCAAAGCTTGTCAAGATACCTGTTGATCTGTGCCCGTACTCGTTGAGCAGTAGCAGATCGAGGGATGACTCGAGAGCCGCGATTTGTCTCCGGTCTCCTCGTTGTCTGAAAAATCAATTAATCTATAGAAATCTTAACTTTAATCACCCCATGCTTTAGAAAATCACTTGTAAATTATAAAAGTTTAGGCAAAAAAACAAAAAGAACTAGCAGACATTTAAAAAAAACGCTTAAAACGACACTCAAAATTTGTTCCAATACGGTAAATTAATTACAGTACTCTTTCTCGGTTGTATCTTTGCTAAAATTTTTATACGTTAAGGTAAAAGTTTACAATTTTCTAAGTTTACAGACAGTATTTTAGAGTACAAACCATTTGCGGACGACAAGTCGGACAATACCAATGTCCTCTGGGAATCTCATCAAGTGGAGGATCCAGGCAGAAAGTGTGAAAACTGAAAAATAGAGTGTAAAGGTTTACACTAGATTTAAATGTTTAGTAACTATCTATAACTTTATTAGCTTTGTTTTTAAGTAGCTCTGTTTCGAATTTCATTTGATTCTTCGGATCATCTGACCTTGCTTTTATTAGGTTGAGTACTAAGTCTTTCACTTAAATTCATTTTCTAATTGAATTAGTCTCAAGCTACCAAATTAAATACGGTTCTTTCATTAGATAGCCCAATCATTTCTCTTTCATCTCAAATGACTTTTGAAAGTTTCTGAAAAGCTTTGTTTTGAAGATTTTTCATTAGCGAGAAGCTGAGTGTTCAAAAACGACGAGGTCCGATTGATGCGACTTGGACTGTTTTTTCCCATGAAACCTATTTTGATAACAAAATAAAAAAGCTAGCGCACAAAAAGTTAGACTTACAACCAAAATTTCAGAGTAATTCGTTTAGCGGTTTTCTTTATGTGCTCATTTTTCAATATTTTTTTAAAATACCAGTTTTCGTTCTTGCAGATTATTCTAAAATACTAAAAATTGTTTTAAAATGACAAAAAGTAAACGGTAAACATTTATAATGAAAGAAGCCGTTTGATATTTGGTAGTTTGAGACTTATTCATTTAGATAATGAAATGAAAGGTGCAAGACTTAGCATTCAACCTAGGATTTGCTTTTAACTTTTTCATACTTACCCCAAATCACAGTTATCGCAAAGCAGAAGCATATCACCGCTTGTGTCACGGCCGCAAATTTGACAACAAGTATCATCGCCTTCCAGCGGATCCTAAACTCAAGTTTGGAATAGATAAAGTTTTAAAGATTTGCAGGCCTTAATCTAGAATCTAGAAGCTTTTAATCATTACCAAATCAAATTCTAACACTTACATGAACTTTTTTCGTATCGATTCGCTTCTCTTTGACAGTCTTTCCATCCTTCTTCATATAAACGATATTCACAATATTTCGGCACATTGGGCAATTGGTGGTTTGCTAATTGGAATTTTAAATAAATATTAACTTTTTTGTTACCTGTAGCCATCGATCAATGCAAAGTGGATGGAATACATGACTGCATGAGTCGAGAGTGGCCAGGATAGATCCTTTCTAAAATGGTACTGTTAAAGAGCTAATATTGAAATTTAGCCTGGACCCAATCAGCTCTAGATCTTGAGCTGATTCTTTTTCCATTTAAATTCAGTCCGTTTTTAAGTTTGATAAGTTATAGGGAATGAAACTAATTGTAAACAATAATATGTTACTAATTCTTTGTCATTTCTCTACATTCTTTTGTGTTTGAAGCGAGATTTGATTCTACGAAAAAAATGCTTGACAAAGATCGATCCATTTTACCAGCATTCAAAGTTGAGCTAGGAAACTCACATAAACTGAAATATTATTATAAATGATACAAGATTATATAAGAATTATGGGATAGGCCGATTTCCACCATTTTATTTGCGCAATAGGGTCATTTGTGCAACTGGCTCCTTTGCGAAGCTTGCCATAACTTTGTCCTAAGTTGACCAACCTTTATGACTTTGGTGTCATTTCGTAGACCTCAATAAGTGCAACAAAATGGCACCAAAATCATAAAGATTGCCCCACTTAGAAGAAAAGTTATGGTGAGTTGCGTAAATGACCCTGTTGCGCAAATAAAATGGCGGAAATTAGCCCACCCCAGAACCATAAAAGAATGATATCATTATGTGAGTTTCCTAGCTAAAACTCCTCACCTCGCCAAATTCGATCAAATCTGTTAAACAAATCGCGCACTCATTCTCGCCTTGTTCTTCTATTTCCTTTGACGTACCCGGCTTATCCATATTCTAAAACAAAAAAATAATAACCGATTTTCAAAACAGCCAAAAATACCAAAGTCAATCTTTTCAAAAAGCATTCAAATATCAGTAAAATCTTTATTTTTTTTTCTAAAATCGCGAAAAGTAGTTCATATAGGGAATAAATGCGAGTGGATTCGTGGAGATCGCTCGGGTGGGGTGGTTTGGGTGAAAATTTGAGAAATTTGCAAGTAGGACGCTGAGATTTGCGAATAATGTGTTCCTTGCAAGTAACTACTCCAGTCAAATTTGCCTGAGCAATTTTTGCTCAATTAATCGACGTTTTTGGTCGAGCAACTACGAACCATCCTCTTTACACGTCGAATAAATTGAATATCTTTACATTTGAAGGGAATTTGCCACCAAATCAGCTAACGGGCTAAATATCTTTAAAACGGGCTAAATATCTCTAAATATCATATATAACTCGTCGCTCGTGATTTTTTGGGCTAATTTTTTGAGGTTTGTCCAAATGCGACCTTTTTTCGCGTTTTAAAAGCTCTAAAAAGCTAACATTAACCAATTTCTATTACAAAAGTTGTTTTTCTGGGTAATTTTAGGGCGTAAAAGCCAAATTTTAACATAACAGAGCTTGTGGAAGCAAATGGACAGAGTTATACATAGAGAAAATCGACAATTTTCTGTAATTTATCTTTCAAATTGATTCCACAAGCTCTGATATGTCAAAATTTGGTTTCTACACCGTAAAATTACCTAGAAAAACAACTTTTGGAACCGAAATTGGTTAATATTAATTCAAACAACTTTTTAGAGCTTTTAAAGCGCGAAAAAAGGTGCGCTAATAAGCCGGGTGCGCAAAAAAAGCGAGCATTTTTTGCACACCCAATTTTTTGCAATAATTTTGGCGAAAAGTACGGTAATTTTTCCCAAGTGTGCGTTTTAAAAAACGCATTTCTCGCAAGGAACACACTCTAATTGAGAATAAAGCATTGGTTTCTTAATATCAAGATTTTGTAGAAAAATACACAATAATTTCAGCGCATTCTTTAAGTCTTCGTAAACACTAAAGACCTGACACACTAATAAAATCGGTTATAAAGCCGGTTCACCAGCTCAGCCATGTTTATAAAGCTCCAAAGAACGCACAAAATGATTCAACAGTGCAAAAGGGTTGAACTTTTACAAAATTTCAAATATAGTAAAGTTATCTGAAAAAGAGTTGAGACCAATGATCAGTTATGAGATATCCGAAAATCTTTTTGTATGTACAGTAGAAGAAAAATTGAGGTTGGAATTTACAAAGATTAGATAAATCTTGTGAAAATCTCCGAGAATTTGAGAAGAAATCGATTTTATCCCTTCCAAGCGTTGAAACCTTTTGTCAACATACTGCTCGCCGCCATCTGATTTTTGAGATCTGAAAAGGGCAATTATTGTCAAAAAATCTGTCGATGTGTTTATTGTTTGTGGCAATTACCATATTGCCTCTAATAGAAGCCGAACTAAACTGATGAAGCCCCGCCCACTCACCTCAGAGACAAAAAGTAGCATCAAATTGCGGGTTTTTAACTAAAAGTTCTAAAACTTTGTCGGAACTTACACATTCCATAGGCCCATCTATGGAAACAAACCAAATTGGATTTGCTTTACTAATTGCTGAGAAAACTTAAAAGCTTTGAAAATAAATAATGCGTAAAATTTTTTTGTTTTAAATTTTCTCAGCAATTAGTAAAGCAAATCCAATTTGGTTTGTTTCCATAGATGGGCCTATGGAATGTGTAAGTTCCGACAAAGTTTTAGAACTTTTAGTTAAAAACCCGCAATTTGATGCTACTTTTTGTCTCTGAGGTGAGTGGGCGGGGCTTCATCAGTTTAGTTCGGCTTCTATTAGAGGTATCTGACTATTATTTGGTATTTGACTATTTGATCAATTCTAACAACTTTTTAAACCTCTTTTTGTAAAACCTTAGCTTCTAACCCCGGAAATGATGGAAATGACTGTTGAAGGGCTAAATCTCAAATTTTTGAAGTGATTCCTGTTAGATGAAGCTTTAAATCTTAAATATAACTTAATCAAGAGCCAAAATGGAAAAGTTTTTGAAAGAAAACCAGTCAAAATGTTTCGATTTTTGCTCTTGAATCAATTCCCGTCTAAAATTGACAGTCTAAAAACTGATAAAGGATGGCCAAAGGGTAATTTCATGAACAACGGTTGAATTTCTGCTTTTGATTTGTTTGGCACTTGCTGATTTTATTCCCGAAAAACTAGCTGTAATCAGGATACTAATATTCCATTCGAATATAATTTTAAAATTTAGAATTTAAAATACAAAGGAATCTCAAGATCAGCGTTCAAACCCTAGATTTCTCAAAATCATAAGTCAATGCTGAATTCTTTCTGCCGTAAACCGTTTCAAATGCGCATTTTAGTAGGTTGAGTATTTTAAGAGACAACAAAATTGAACACTTGATAATAAGTGTGATCAAATTGATTATCAAAGAAAACTCACAAGCAGATGTAGCACTTTCGACAGCCGGACTCGGCGTGTAGCCGCTTCGTGATGGACTGAAAATTTCCTTTTTCCCACTTTTCATAACAAATTCTTTTGGAAATAGGTCTTTCTTATCCTATTTTCGTTTTTCTATAATTTTTCCCTTATCTATTTCTCTCAAAAACGTTCACTATCTCGCATAAAAATGACATAAGCAAAAACGTATGGGAACACAAAGAAGATCACTTTTTTTGGGATCGATTTAGTGTTATTTATACACTTTTATTCAACAATAGGCTATAACTTGTCTATTTTTCAAAAATTTTCTATGATAGGCCTTGTCCAGAATACCCAAAATAATTTAGATCTATAGCAATGTTTCATCTACTCTATGCTTGCTTCATCTAATCTATCTTTGCTCCAAAATTATTACCTAAACATACGTTGACCTTAAATTACTCAATTTTATAGTCTAGTTGTTATTTTATAGCACAAAATTGCGTACTTTTGCCCAATTGCTGGGTTGAACGTCTGTCGGTTCTTACTCGATCCACTGTTCCCCCGCGGCCGGCCGTGCGGAGCGGTGAATGATGGGTTTCCGCCTTGGGGTTGTCTAAAAATTTCGATTTTTAAATATTCTTGAATTCATCTCTTAAAGATCATGATCTACAAAGTACGCCAAAAGTTTTGTCATTTTATAGCATCAAATTGCAATGTTCTGTCACTTCACTTACTAGGTTTATAGATTTTAACGCAAAGACCAATCAACTTTCGATTTTTTTGAGTTTTTTTATGAATATTGAATAAAAACGTATAAAAAGCGTCAAATAAAATGTTCCTAGAAGAATTCTATCTTTTTAAATTTATAAATAGAGCGTTTGTTCGTGGACGATTTGCCGAAATTTCAAGTATAACAATTTTTTGAGACTATCATTTTCCTCATTCTTTAAATAGACTGAACAGCAAATAAATTTCTATGCAATATGAGTTTTCTAGGAGGTTAACATCAAAAAATATTATTTTAATATCCATTTTTGGTAAAGTAAAATGGTGAAAATTCAGAATAGAAATAGGGTACTAAATTTTCTAGCTTTCATAATTTTTTCAGCAGCAAGCTATGCCATTGAACCATACTAGATAGTTTAAAAGTTCTACTATTTTCTATGATATTCTTCATTGAGCTGAAACAAATCCAGTTTTTGTGCTTTGGTCAACTTTAGAAAGGTGGCAGAACTTTTGGAGCATTCTGGATTTACAAAATTACAGTACTGGACAATGAAATATCATATTTGAAAAACGATCGTCACTTTCGGGCGTCTGTAACTTCCTTGTCTTTGAGTTTAAACTATTAGTGTTATACATTTTCTGAAAGCTCTTTTCAAGGGCTACACAATGGTAATATTAATATTTAGAAATATGGTATTTTTTGACGCATTTCAGCGCGCACAAGATGGGATACTCAAAATTGTTGATTTTCAAAGCCGTTTTTCTTTATGATAGAGTGCTGGAATCGCTCTGAAACTATGATTTTCGGAATCTACGCAAAAATTTACCTTAGAATCATCAATATTTGTAAAATTTTATCACAGTTTCATAGCGAAAAAAACCACATTTGCCAAATTCTCACTTCTTGAGCGGTTCTTCACAAAAATTGTGTTGCGTGCAACTTTGAATGTTTTTCTTTCTTTGCCTTGGGTAAAATGATAATTTACTGTTTTTAGGAGCAATGGAACGCAACGAGGATGCAAGGATCTTCATGTGCTTACACAACAAGCAATCCTTAACGGCAAAACAAGGTCTTAGCCAGACCAGTTATCGGAACAGTTTACCGTCTCTCGTCGGTTGACTCCAGATTTCTATAACGATCTAAAGTTCGAAAAGTCGAAACTTGAGCGACGAACTAAGAATCTCAAAGCCGGCAATGCCGATGAGAGGTTTGCACAATTGGAGCAGGCTTGAATTCAATCGCCGTCAGCTTCTCCTAATCTTCTTGATTCAATGCCTCGGCGATGTCAAGCTGTAATCGACGCTAAAGGATTTGCTACTAAATACTGAAAGCCCATTGTGTGCTCTGGGGTTTTCTTATTGTTACTGTTTTTGTTACTTTTAATTTAACTACATTTTTGTTAAATATTTGTTTTCCAGCTTCTTCCTCGCTTGACCGCTCAAGAAGTGAGAATTTCGCAAATGTGGTTTTTTTCGCTATGAAACTGTGAAAAAATTTTACAAATATTGATGATTCTAAGGTAAATTTTTGCGTAGGTTCCGAAAATCATAGTTTCAGAGCGATTCCAGCACTCTATCATAAAGAAAAACGGCTTTGAAAATCAACAATTTTGAGTATCCCATCTTGTGCGCGCTGAAATGCGTCAAAAAATACCATATTTCTAAATATTAATATTACCATTGTGTAGCCCTTGAAAAGAGCTTTCAGAAAATGTATAACACTAATAGTTTAAACTCAAAGACAAGGAAGTTACAGACGCCCGAAAGTGACGATCGTTTTTCAAATATGATATTTCATTGTCCAGTACTGTAGATCTGTAGCCTTGTAAACAGATCAAAAAACACGAATGATCCAGCCGAAATCTGGCTAGCCATTGAAGAAGTTGAATACTTTGATAAACTTACGAACTAAGGTAAAATATAAAGAACTAGATGTTGAATTATATTTTATAGTACATGGTTTTTAAAGATTTAATTTCAAATGAACCTGGGTGGCGGTGGCGGAGGCGGCATCGGGGATTTCTGTTGTCCCTGGCTTCGCTGTTGAGTCAAGTACATTTGGTTGACCTAAAAAACAACATTTTATTACCATCTTAATCTACGTTTTATCTAATTCTATTTATTTATGCTAATTTTTATCCAAACTTACATGCTGCGCCTGCGCTGCGGCGACCAATTGCGCTTGAGTTGTTATGGCTTGTTGAGCGGCCGTTTGACGTTGTTGATTGCCAAGAAGCTAAAATTCAATGTATTCCATAAAAATATGACCATTATATGATCATTTATGATTTTAACATCACAAAATTTACCCCTAACAACTGCTGAGTCTGCGGAGAAGAGGATTGCGAAAGCGCGTGGAGTTGTTGCTGTATGGAGGGGGAGAGGAGCGCTTGAGAGGCCTAAAAAGTAGTTAGATACATAAATTTTTGATATCCTTTCAAATTTATCTTCAAATCTTTCAAATCTAATTTCATTTCCAGTTTTATCCAACTTACAGGTATCGTTCCGACATGAGAGCCCAGCTTGGCCACGTCCATCTTCGAATCGCCCGAATCATGAGAACTTGTTGAACCAGCTGTAATAGGTACCATTAAAATTGGCTAAATAATTTAATCAATAGATAAAACCTAAATATTTAGCTAACTAGAGTAGATATGGGCACTATAAACCACAAAAATGACGAACTCTCACACTACAAACGCTTCTAACTTGCTTCAAATCTGCCGGATTGACATGATCTATAGCTCAAAAAATAGAGAAGCTTAAGAGCTTTCGAATGGACTAAAGAACACCGAAAGATAGCAATTTTAAAGAAATTACAGTCGTTTGTAGCCCTAACAGGACCGTACTCGCGCGTAGTCGAGTCAGTACTACAAACCATTGTAACTTTCTTTAGCATTGATATTTTTGGATGTGCTTTGATCCATTCGAAAGCTCTTAAGATTCTCTATTTTTTGAGCTATAGATCATGTCAATCCGGCAGATTTGAAGCAAGTTAGAAGCGTTTGTAGTTTACGTTTGTAGTTTGTAGTGTCCATATCTAAACTAGAGCTTAGGTTTAACTTCAAGGTTTTTGCCTGGTGACTGAAGAAAAGCCGTTGAGGTCATTTGTTGAACCACTGACTCAGAGATGATACCAGCCTAAATGAACAAGTTTATTTAGCAAAATCAAGTCAAGGCCAGTAAAGTACAACTGCAAGTTTTAAGCCAGACTACTAGTGAAGTGGTTAGAATTGTAGATAAATCGAATACTATGTCTGATCAAAATCAAAAGCTGTTGTTATATTCAAATTTATGTATTAAATTTGAAATCTTTTAAAATCTCTCAAGTACCGTATTTTCCCTAATAGTAGTGCACCCTGAGCGTCGCCTAAATTATTCGAAATCTCGAAAAGCGCTTATCAGAACCTATCGATGTGGGGTCGGAAAATGTAGCTGACGATGAGATCTTGTGGGGGATTAGAGTGTTGAGCTTCTGTGAGAACTTGGAAACCGTAAAATAGCCATCAACTTGGCTCGGCGAGGTGCACTACTATTAGGGAAAATACGGTATTAGGTTTGCCGATAAATCTTTGGACACTTTATTTGAAAACTATTTAGAAAGAGCCAATTGATCAATTGACATACGGTTTGCTCCATTAAAAAGACCTCCTATTTTTTTTATAAAATATCGTTGAAATCGTCAGAAATGTTTTGTTTTTAGTTTTTTATTCGGAGTTCGAACTCGGATAGTCAATAACAGAAACGACTCGATTACGCGATTTAGATATTTTGGTCCAAAGAAACGGATTTTCGTGTCAATAGACAAAAGACAGCGCAAAAAGTTAGGCATACAGCCAAATTTTCAAAATAGTCTGTTCAGTCAACTCCTTTCACACATTTTTGATCAAATTATAAGCAAAACGAGTTTTTTGCAATCGGATTTTCTTGGAGACGAGCTCAGATTGGCGCAAAAATTTAGAAAATTATCAAATAAACACTTTAATTTTGAGCAAACCGTATGTTAATAGGTGGACTTTTTATTTCTAAACAGATTTATAAAAAGTGTTCAAAGATTTATCGGCAAACTTAATATCTAAAGGTACTTTGCAAATTTAAAAATCTAACTAACTCACCGCAATTCGTGGATCATTCGAAATCACTGGAGCTTTCGGTGTAATCGGAGTGATCGGTGTCGACGTGGAGGCTTTCTTCAGCTCAGCTTCATTCTTCAATGCGTCTTTCAACTTCAGAAATGTCTCATGCTTCTCTTGATCCAACTTCTCCAATTTCTCGTTTGCTTCGGATAACTAAAATAATGAAAATTTCAAAGATCTTGCTTTTAGAAACCTCTTTATAGATCACCACCAATTCCTTTGCTGCCTCGATTTTCTCTTGTTGAATCTCGATTTTTCTTCGTTTCCGTTGCTCAGTCTTTTCCACTTCTGTAAGAATTGAGATTGTTTAGTTATAAGCCAAAACAAAAAAAAAACAGCTAGCTACTTCAGCTGAACATTGCAACTCCTGTTTAAATTCGGTCTTACTAGTTTGTAAGCCATAAATGTTAACGGATAGGTCCACTCCTGGTCCGCAAGTTGGTCCATTCATATCTAGAGGCTTGTCTGGCTTGACTACTGGGAGCACCAAGTACCTATAGTCACTTCTAAGTTTTATTGACACCGGCTGACAGTTGTGTTTTGCACAAGCAAACCTTTTGATACGAATGGACCGAACTTTGGATCGATCCTTGCTCTTAACTCATGGTACAATTTATTAACCCAGATTCCTTTTCAATTAACAAACTATGGATAGTATCTTTTAAGATAACCGGAAAAGTACCAAAACTAGGAATTGCTTACTATCTTTGAATTGAGCATTCTTGAAGGCGATGTGTCGGAGAATGGCTTTCCGGGTGGCATCTGGGACGACAAGGGGACGCCAGTGAAGGGGAATCGTCTTTCCTAAACAATGGTTATTTTTATGACAACTAACAGATCCAAATAAATCTAGAGGTGGTCCTAAACTTCCAGTTTCGCTTCTATTTATGAATGTTGGTCAATTGTATTGAAAACCGAACTGTTTCGTAGGGTACTACCTTCTAGACATGGGGAAATTTCAACCCGAACCTAATTCCACCTTCGTTTTCTCAGCCGTCTCTTGGCCGATTGCTCTGAAATTTTGTCTACAAGCAAAAAATGACAATTTCTATTTGTAAACAAAATTTCAGAACAATCAGCAAAGAGACGGCTGAGAAAAAGAAGGTGAAATTCTCTCACGTCTACTACCTTCGTGTTTCGGGAGAACCATCGGGATCGGTTTTGGGCGCTTGTGGACGGGAATCGTGGGAATGATGGGCACCGTTGACGGGTCGATCACCGAATTCTCGTCGATGTCCATCGTTTGATCGGGCGGATCGCCCGGAGGGGGCGGCGGGGCGTCCCCTCGAGACGCGGATAGGGACCCTGATGCCACCTGAAAAGAATACGAATAAAAATAACAGATTATTGCAATACTATGCCATGATAAGTACTAGACATGGGAAAATTCCAATCCGAATCTAATTTCACCTTCGTCTTCTCAGCCGTCTTTTTGCCGATTGCTCTAGAATTTTGTCTACAAGCAGATAATGCCAATTTTTATTTGTAAACAAAATTTCAGAATAATCCGGCAAGAGACGGCTGGGAAAACGAAGGTGAATTAGGTTCGGCTTGGAATTTTCCCATGTCTAGTGTCTAGTGAAGTAAAAAAGAAGCCGAATTCTAGTTCCCTTGATAAACTAAAGACTAGGCAAAAATCTTGAGTAGGTTAGAAACCTATCATCGTTTTCAGATCCTCAAACGCATACTTTAAGCTTAAACTCATGATTATGCTATTTGTAGAAATCGAAATAAAACACTAAGGCAAGTTTCGTAAATCTTCTTAGTTTTACGTCTTACCCGTATAAAGGTGCATTCGGACTGGCGAACTTGCCAGTTCAAATACCCAAATATAAATAATACAAAGACAAATACAAAAACAAGCTTATTGAATAAATTTTCAATCATTCAAATGATCAAGAAATCACTTATCAATCTTAAAATATAGCTTTCATTTGCTTTGGTTACAAACCAAACAATGAAAATCGAAAATGAACAACCTTGGCACATTTATTGTCGACTTGAATCACTGAAAAGCTATATACAAAGTTGAAAAAGATTCTAACCAAAACTAAATTGATCAATTCATTGAAAGAGCGCTTTTTTTTGAATCACAACTGAAAGGGAAACCGTCATAAACCAGTTTAAAAAAAGGCTAAAATGATAGCTTTTTTAATTGAAAAGTCACAGGTTTTTGAGCAAAATTTGGAAAAAAGACATTAAAGAAGCTGGCATCATTGCTTTGGAGAGAAATCACAGATAAATTTGGTAAGGGGAAAACGAGTATTTTTGAATATTCAGTTATTGGCACAATTTCCTCGATAAACAATGCAAGCAGTTACAACTCTTCAAGCATCTCCAGGTGTTCCGTGCCAAAAACGGTTCGATGCCATAAATCGGGCACCCGACGGGCTTGATTGAGCAAGAGTTGACGGGTGTTTTCCTAAAATAAAAGATTCATTATGATTCTTGACCTGATATTGTTTACTATCAGCTTTCTCAAAGGATTTTTCAGACTAGGCCAAGCCGGCCTCAGATAACTTCATTTAGTACCAAATTTTGGCTCATTTTTTCTAAGGAACTGGACAACACTTCTGCGACCAGAAGAGCTACCAAATTTTGTACTTTTTTCATTCTTTACCTCGACATTGTTCTCGATATTTTGAATCTTCACAAACTTCTCCAAACTCTTGCAAATCCGACTCAACTCATTCTCCGATCGGAAGAAGAACCACTCGCGCATCTCGTTTGACTAAACAACGACTTTAGGAGATGCTTTACTCATTCACCTCCAAAATCAAACATGTGTGATGCTCAGTAGCCATTCTGACTCCACTCAATAGATCGGTCAAATTAAGGACGAGCAGAGATCGCATGAAATCGTCGCGAAGAACATTTTCGCCCTCTTGACAAATGACGAGGCTTGACGCGGTGATGATCAAAGCACAGGAAACAGCATCTTCTCCGTCATCCTGAAAAGAGATAAACTGGATTTACTGAAGCTTATGTTTGTAGGCTTATGACAAGCCTGATTTATATATACTATGATAATCTGATTCAAAATCAAACCAAATCAAGCTGTCCTAACAGAATCAATAAAAACTTAAGACCAGTCTTTTCTAGACTAAGCTTTTCGGAATAAACTTGGCTCATGATGCAAGTTCAATATAGTTTGCTAAAGTTTGAAACTGTTCAGGCTACCTGAGAAGACAAGGCAATGCTCAGCAAGTGCATCCAACGGGTCATTTCATCTCTTGACGTGCATTGGAGTTGAATCGGTGCCTCGTCTGGGCGATCCGGGAAAGTTATCTAGAGTAAATAGTCACTTTTCCTACAATACATCTTACAGTATCTTTTTGAGTATCGATAGTAATAAAGAAGTGAAAGAATTGGCAAGAAAAAGCAGATTTCCGGAGAGGGTATTGAATCCTCGACCGGGCTTTCCGGCCAATGGCTCTAATCACTGAACTATCCAGTCCCTTAACTTGCAAAGAGAAAGAAGGAAAGAAGGAAAGAAGAAAGAAAGAGAATCAAGTAATCAAGAACGTTGTGCTTAAAGCATTTAGAAGCTATTACTAAGCAGCTAACTTTGCTAGTTCAATTTGTTTGCCCCTGCTCGATAATCACGAACCAAGCCTGGCCCCAGGCAGAAGCCAAGTCCTGGCTTTACTTCAGACTTGGCCCACACTTGCAGTACTTCAGCTTACAGTATCCTAGACTACAGCTCACTTCTTACAGTACGCTTTATGTTCAGCTTAGAGTATATTCTGTGACAGTACTTGTAGCACAAACGTGTGATGTTTCTTTAGTTCAACTTCTTGTGTCTCCACGGCTCCTCCACTCAAATTGATCACTCTTTCGCCAATTTTGCATGTCATATCGGTGAACACGTAAAGCTTCCGGCCTCTAGAAAAAATAAATTCATATAAAATATCTATATAATCACGAACTGCAACAAAAAATAGCTCTGTTTCCAGTCATCATTCGGTTTTCTCCACCAGGATACGTCCAGTGATCGATGCATCAAATAACCCTGATGGGAGATCTAAAAAATTGTTCAATTTATATTATTTTATAAACTGTAAATTGATTGTATATCATTTTTATTATCATTTATGCAATAACCCACTTCAACAGCCGTGCCCAATGTGCTCGTTTCCCTCCAGAAGACCAGTGACGTGTGAAGGATTTCTTCACTCTGGAAAATGATCGGAAATGAACGTTTTCGTTTTCTAAAAGTTGATCTAGCTACTGTAACCCAAACCTGTTTCAGTTCTTTGTCTAAGAATCGTCGAACGATCAGCGCATAAGGCGTGGAATCGGTGTAAACGAGCGGCGCACCGCCTTGACGACCGCCTTTTTCAGCTGCCTAAAAATGTGTTCTTAATTTTTTCAAAAAGGGTGCCACTCCAATTTATAAAAAGGGTTCAATTCGAGTATTCCTATTTGTTGAATACCACATATATCATACCACATATATCCACTCAACACCACCCGACAACTAACATAGCTAACTCCAGATTATTGAGCTATTAATCCTTTTGTTAAACCCTCAGCCTCCACCCTCCTATAACAGCTTACCTCAGTTACACGATGAAAATTCCACTAAAAGTCTTTAAAATACGAAAAACACGAATTCATTATGTTATTGTACTCAAATCCTTACCATACACATAGCATCAGCAATAATTTTCCCCAATTTCTTGTCACCCGTCGCCATCATAACCACATCGCCCGACAAATGCTCCTCATCGTGCATCTGAACGAACTTTTTAAAAATATTCCTTTTTCATTACCTTAAAATTTGTCCCTTGCTTTGCAAAGAGTAGAACCGATTGAAAATCATCGGTCAAACCAATGTAATCGATTGCGTCCATAGCCGCCTCGCAATGCGAATGATACTCGACTTGAGAGCTGCTCGTCATTTCTTGTACTCTGAAAATATTGTGCCTATTTTGATAACTAATGGCTATTGATCTATGTTCTCTGTTTTAGCTATCTTATTCATGCATTTTTTTGGACCAAACCCATTCAGGCCAGGTTTTTCAGGTCAAGTCTTTGCTTAACCTAATTGCACTACAGACGTGGCCTCAAAAAGTGCCTGAACCTGCCAAAAGCTAGAACTTGGCACCTGAACAGGTTATAGCTTGCTAGATTCGTTGATAGATTGGCTCTAAAACCATTTGGAATACAAATGACCAGCATAGATTTAAATCTCTTTCAATCTCGATTCAACTCACTGGCTTGTATCCTGATTATCTGTCGTTAAGCTCTGTGAAAGAATGTAGATGTTCTGATCGGTGAGAATCAGCAGCCTAAAAAAATAATATAAAAACTAATGTTTTATCCACCTTTCAGCTGGCCGTCCAACCACGAATCTCTCGAAAACTTGAAAGCAGCGCTGAAGATTTTCTCGTTGATCACGGAAAACGTCCATCGCTAGTTTGAGCACCTCACCAGATTGCAAGCTGAAGAGAACAATCTTATTGAATATTTCCTTGTATTTTCTATTTCTTCTTGACCAAAAAAGGCGCTAATAGCTCAGTAGTAGAGCATCTGCCCGGTAAACAGAAGATCGAAGGTTCAATTCCCCTTGGTCCCAAATTCTTTGCCATTCATTTCTTTACTTTACTATTTTTAGACTAACTTGATTTCTCCTTCACATTTTGTATCCTCGACGGGTGGATGAGTGTCGGAGACTTCAGTGTTTTTTCTTGGTGGATCATCGACAAAGAGACTGTCGTAAGAGCCGCAAGCTTGCTGAAATTGAGCATTTGGTGTTTGAATTTGGCATTCATCATTAACATCAATCACTAGTTACTCATAAAATCGTAAGAATAGTACAGCAGGACAGCCAACAGTCAAGTAAAGTACCCGGGTCGGAGACTGGGAGATGTCTGACCCAATTTACCAACTTCTCTTTCTTGTATTTCCTCTTTCTTCTCTGGCAAGAAGATACTGGATAGCCCAGTGGTTAGAGCATCTGGTCAAAAATAAATAAAAAATTGGTAAAAACTGTAGATTAATTGATGCACTATTTTCTTTTCATTTCTAAAAAGTGCAATGAAGAAGTGTACCAACTTTCAAGTTCCCAATCTAATATTAGATTCAGTTGGACACCCTGGATAAGACCAGAAGCCAGGGGCAAACGTCGGCAAACGTCTTCTTGACTTTCCTGTTTTGTCAGAACAATTTTCTTGACGCATTAAAAAACAAAGCCTTACATCAGCAAAGCTTCCAAAGACGCCGGACATGTTCTTTCGGATCAAAATCTCGAGTGGTTGCTCGTGAGGCTCGTCGATGTCCTCCGATTTGTGTAGAAGTCTCGGTGAGTCTCCACTCTAAGATAAAGTTTCCAGCAATTATGATACATGTTTGACTTCTAATTCTAAATCTAAAGCTAAATCTAATTCCAATTCTGTTTCTAAAGCTAGCCATTCTTTTCCCCAACCTTTGGTTCATCAGCCACAAATCCGTTGAGCTTTGTTCTTTGTCGTTGCCGAGCTAACAGATCATTTAACACATACTCCTAAAATTGATTTGGATTCGATTTTTGTTCAACTCAATACTTGATCCATCACGGTTGGAAGTGGATTTCGGGTGAGTGGAACAGTCACAGCTGGGATTGAGGCTTCTGATTCTAAAAAAATCAAATTCAGGATTTGCGGATCTTTTAATCTTTAATTTTTTAAACCTGATTGCTCTCGTTCTCGTCGCTTTTTCGTTTTCCGAATGATTCGGGACGTTTGAACGGGTGTTGTTTCGACGACAATCGCTGCCGGAACGAATACTTGATTCGCCGCTGATGGACTCTGGAATTTGCCATTTTTAAATAACTATAAGGAGTACAGAAGAGCCAATAATCAGAGCAGATCAGGCAAAGTCTAGGTCAGATCAAGGCTCAAGGCTTTACTGCAAGCCAAAATCTGCTCACAAAAAGTTCACAAATCCAGCAAAAGAAGCCTTGAACCTGGACTATGCATCGCGGAAACTCTAGGCTTAGATTCCAGTTAGATCACCCATTCACTTACCTTTTCCTAAAAACCCACCGGAAAAGCGAACATCACATTCGAAAGTCTCTCACACTCGTCAACAACCCTCTCCAACATTCCGTAATTTCGAAAGAAAGCATTCGGATGATAGAATCGACAGATGAGCTTTCTTAATTCTCTGAATGAAAAAATTAATTCAAAACGCACAAAATCAAAAAATATCGATCCCAACTTACTTGTTCTGCTTGAAACCCAAAAGTTGAAAGTGAAAAGAGCCGCGGTTGAGTGCGTCTTTCAGCCACGCCATCGATAGGGCTCGATCCGATGTACATTGCCATTCGACCTAGAGATAGTAGAAAGATAAATGACAATACTTAGTAAAAATATAGTCAATCCAGTAGGAATTGACGCCCCAGTTCTTACCAAATTTGCCTATTCGTAAGTTTTACCTGGCTAAACTTACTTGAAAGAGCTAAAAATTACTGTGCCAGACTAATTCTCACTCTCAGCCCAATTCCCATACCTTATTTAACTGCTATTTACGTTGTTTTTAAATCAATTTTCATTTCAAATGCAGATTTCGGCCTGTTTGACTGAAAGCTAACTCACCTTTAATAGTTGAGCCTCCGTTTTCGGGAGAAACTCGCGCACAAACGGCCAATAGCATTTGTTTGATGCGTACAAGCTGAAATTTTGAGTAATTTAGATCCAGATGCTATTTACAGTAGTCATTTTATGTTCAGCGCTTCTGAAAATACTGATTTCCGAAGATTAAACCAACCCATAGGCCATGAAAGCGTCCAACTTGTTGAGCAGCTTCTTCGCGTTGTTCAAATCGATTTGAACTACCTGGAATTGAATTGGATTTGAATTCAAGGCTATCTAAATCAAAAATTAAGGCTTTGAACGCAAGTTTACTACCTATTTTTACGATAAATATTCTTTTATACGTACCTCTTTTTCCTGTGCCACATTTCGAATCAAAGCCACGAGAAGCTTTTCGAAGTCTGGGTGTTGTGCTTTCTGGGCGCGAACCTCGGGCTTGAGAGTAATCGGAGCTAGTTGAAACATGGTTCTGAAAATGAAAAATCGTGACTTTTGGGAAAAAAAAATATAAGAGTTCCTTTGGCCAGTCCAGAGCCAGATTTGCAGGTTAGACCTAAGTGGAACAAACTTGCAGGAAGCCGGTTAGGTCTTGGTTTTGCCTTACCTTGCCCAGGAAAATTCAAAACATTCTTGCATTCAAAACAACCTTGCCTATCAAAGCCAGAATCAGACTAGGACCAGATAAAGCCAAAAGCCTTCAAGTATTTATTTACCTATCTGTTTTCCCCCTTTCCAAAAAGTATCCAGTTTTCTGACAAACTTGCCTCACCTTTTCTCTTCGTTCTCCTTCGATTCCCTCCAATTCTCATTCCCACGGCAATCTCTTTAGCTCAAGCTGCACTCGTCTCTATCGTTTTCTAAAATTTATTTATAAAATCTGTATCTAACATAAAGCTCATAGAAATCTAAAAAAGACAACAAAATCTATCACAAATCACTCGGAAAATATGGCACTTTGAAAACCCGATATCAATAAGTTATTAATCACGTAACCCTTTCAAAATCTTCTCTGCCGCGTCCAAAGTCTCATCTTTCTTGAAAAAACAGGTTCGGATCAAGTTCGCATTCTCGTGTTTATGTTCGGGCGAATAAAAAGCTGATGGCGGTATGGTCGCCAACTTTTTCTCTTTACACAACCAGCGAACGAAATGGAAATCGATTGGATCAGGGTGGTTTGTGGGAATATTTTTGTAAGGACCATCAAGACTTGTATAATCAGCCATCATAAAGTAGCCAGCCTGTGGAAGAATTGGGCGAAAACCGGCTGAAGTTAAAGCCTTCGATAAACGGTCACGCTTGGCGATGAGCTCGGAGCTGAGCCCTGTTTTGAGGTAACTCTTCTCCGGCTGGGTTTTCAACAATTCGAACTCTTTCTCGAACGCCTGAGCGACCGCTTCTTGAATTGGAGTCGGACATGTGAAGACACAGTTTTGATGAATCGTTTTTAAAGGTTCCAAGAGATGCTTCGGTCCGATTGCCCAACCCAGTTTCCAACCAGTGACAGAGAAAGCTTTTCCAGCGCTTCCGATGGTAATTGTTCGATCGTACATCCCTGGCAGACTCGCAAAACGAATCATTTCATTTCCTCCGTACACATGCCACTCATAAACCTCGTCAGCTACCACAATCAAATCCTTTTCTTGAACGAATTTCGCGATTCCTTCAAGCTCATCTTTCGAGAAAAGCTTGCCAGTGGGATTGTTTGGATTGTTGAGTACAAGCATTTTCGTCTTCGATGTACAGGAATCATACAGCTTTTGAAGATCCAACTTGTATTGCCCAGCTGAAGTCGCATCTTTAGGCAAAGACATTGCAATTGAGATTGGCTTTCCACCAGCCATTGTTACTTGCGGAGAATAACAGTCATAAGCTGGTTCAATGATCAACACCTCATCTCCCTCATCAATCCAACCAATAAAAGTATAGTATAAGGCAAGGTAGGCCCCGATTGTGACAAGGATTTCCGATTGTGGATCAATTTCACGCAGGAAGTGGTCACCATAAAGTTTAGAGAGAATGTTGACAAGTCGTAGATGGCCGTATCCACGGGTGTACTGATGCCAATCGACTCTCTCTGGGTGTTTCGTGATTTCCTCGAGAATTTTGGCAACAAATGTTGGCATGGCAAAATCTGGGAATCCTTGTCCAAGATTGACGGCTTTTGTCTCGGCAGCAAGTGTAGTGAATTCCACCCAAATACTTGGCTTTGCGTCCTGGGCACGTTGTGCTGGCAGAAAACGAGACATCGTTCGAAGCGAAGAGTGGAGACACCGAGCACCTAGCATCACGAATTAGTTGAAGACAAGAGAACCTTGAAATTTGAAAAATTAAGAAAAGAAATTGAAATGAACTGCATGCACACCAAGAATTGGGCTAGAAATAGAAAGAGAAATGCATGCATGAGTCAAGACGTTTTTGTTGTTGTTTGGCAAAAAAACAATGGGGTTTTTGATTGAATTGGGGAAAAGTAGACAATGGAAAGTTTTAGTGATAAGAGGGCTTGCAAATTGATGAGTTTTTGAGCTAATTTGCTGACAAAATAAACAATGAATTCTGTAATTTAATCGAAATTTGTTTGATGCACAAAGTGGCCAGGAAAAAGTCAAATGGACCAAGTTTTGAGTCAAGTTTTTAATCTTAAAAGTTAGCCTTCAATCAAAAAATTATTATCTACAAGCTCTAACACCTACTGGTTTAAAATTTTAGCCAAATCTTGATAAGACAAAAGATTCATAGGGTATAGGTACATTAAAAGATAAATTTGACAGAGCCAGAACTTTTTAAAGTGAAGTCAAACAATTTCTGGATGGAAACTAATTGCTAGTAGACTCGAAGAGACCTTAAAAGGATAGAATTCGATAAAATGGAAACCTTTCTCAAGAAAACCGAAAAAATGAACCGCAGCTAGGTGCGGTGATATGCAGATGGGACACTTGAAAAAGGCCATTGGGTGCCAAAAAGGTGATAATTGACAGTAGGCGGGAGATCGCTGCGAGATCTGGCGGGGTTGCGAAATTGTGAAAGAGTGAAGGAAAGGCACGAAAAAGTAGATTTTAGTTAACGCAAGGTGACGGTTTTAAAGGATACAGCTTGTAAAGGAGATGGAGCATTTCATGTTGGGGGGGGGGCTTTTTTTCTTTCAAAATCACTTTTTCTGGGGTAGTTTTATGCGTCGATTCCGAAAAACACAATGAGAGTTTGGGAAAATGCGTTTTAAGCCGAGTTTCGGGGCTCCAAATTGCGCGCTCATAGAGTGTGATGATAGGGATACCCTTAGGGAAGTGGTCTAAAAATGGGCTCCTTTTTCCCCCGAGAGAAACGAAACAAAACCATTTTAGAAATTTAAACAAAAAAACATGGGCAGAATATAAACAGGATGAAACGAACGAGGGGAAAGGGAGTACTTTAAAAACACGCTACAAGAACATAATAGAACATAACATTTTACGAAGGGGAAGGAAACTTAGCGGGGCTCGGCATAAAAGCCGGACAACATTCACAATTCCGTCACGGAATGCCGAAAAAAAGAATGGCAAAAGGGGAATTTTTGTGCGGGGTAAGGTGGCGTCTCCACGCTTTAGAAAGCGCGCCGCCACGCAACTCTACAGGGTGTCCCAAAATTATGGTGACACGGTTCCTTTTGGTATTGTTTTCTGCTTAATCTTTTCAACCTTTTTGATAATATTGCTCATTTTCCTCATTATTGGGGTGCAAAAATCTAGCCGCGGTCTTTTGAGCGTTTTTGCATTGGCGCTCTTTTGGCTACGCTCTTTTGGCTACGCTCTTTTGGCTACGCCTTTGCTACGCGCTCCTTTTTGCGCTCTTTTTTGCGCCGGCGCCTTGGTTGCGCTCTTTTGGTTGCGCTCTTTTGGTTGCGCTCTTTTGGTTGCGCCCTTTTGGTTGCGCTCTTTTGGCTGGGCTCTTTTGGCTGCGCTCTTTTGGCTGCGCTCTTTTGGCTGCGCTCTTTTGGCTGCGCTCTTTTGCCTGCGCTCTTTTGGTTGCGCTCTTTTGATATAGTCCCGTATTTTGTTGCTGATGAAGACAAATAATGACAGTACATAAATTTTTTTTAACTTTATGTCTAAACAAAGCAATTTATTTAATATCATTAAAAAAGTTGAAAAGTTAGCTCAGCAAATCTCTAAAATTCAGAAAAAAGTTCTGTCACCATAATTTTAGAAAACCCTGTAGAGTTAAAACTGACTCAAGAAGATTGTAAAAAGCTATGTGAGCGTTTTGAAAGGATAACAATGAAAACTAGCTGATTTGTTTTTGTTTGGAGGATAGTGTGTGTAAAGTTCAAAGCAATATCCACTCACAAAAGAGATATTAATTTTAAATTATATTACTGAGCTTTCTAAAGTTCAGTTTTTTAAAAGCTTGCACTTTGTACATCATATTTTGATCATCTCTTAATTCTTCACTTTTAAAATCTTTTCCAGATTCAGGTTGCTTCATTTTATTAGACTATGGAACTTGTTAAGCTCTTGAACAGCTCTTAAAAGTTCCCCAAGAATGCCATGCCAATTTTTTGGGTGCTAAATGGCATCGATTCAGAGCCATTCAATGAAATGCGGAAAAGCCCATTGAGAAGAGTCTCCCGAATTCTTTTCCTAACCGTTTTCGATGTGTTCTCGAGCGTCTCACCAAATTGGCCGTTCCCTTCACACTCCTCTTTCTCTTTTTCTTTATATTCTGGCATTTCGGGGGTGAGGCTTGGGCAAAGGCTGGGCAACGGCTCAAAGGAAGTCTCCCTTACGAATGGATAGCCCCCAACGATGTGATGTGTCCATCTTGTCCATCTCTCTTTCAATGCCACATCAGTCCATCCATTTTTCAGCTTCAGCTTTAGATCCTTCATCAATTGCAATACCATATCAATGTTAAGCATTGCTTCAGCGTTCTACATTTTCATTCAGCTGCAGCTTTGAATTCTTAGCTCTTTCCATTGTCATGAGTTCTAGTTCTGTTGTGAATTTTTGCCATAATAGCAACAAGGAAACTCTCGTCTTTTACCATAAAAAGCGTTCAAATTCCGGAGCTTGTCAAGCGAATGACGCAAATTTCGTGTTGCTCCTTTTCGATAATTGTCGTCGTTGAAAGAGAACGGTGAAAAGATAAGTGGGGTCTCTAAATTGTTTTTACATCAAGTGTACCCTTTCACGTTATTTATTTCGCCGTGCAGAGAGACTCCAATCTCTTCTTTATTTTACCCAATCCAGCATTACTTTTAATTCTAATTTTTTTGGGGGTTGTGAAAAACAAATAAAAAAAAAAAAAAAAAAAAAAATATTAAAATCCTCTTATTATATAAATATTTTTTTTTTTATATATATATAAATTAATAATAAAAAAAAATAAAAAAAAAAAAAAAAAAAAAAAAAAAAAAAAAAACAAAAAAAAAAAAAAAAAAAAAAAAAAAAAAAAAAAAAAAAAAAAAAAAAAAAAAAAAAAAAAAAACCTCTTTAAAATTTAAAAAAAAAAAAAAATATTTTATTAAAATATAATAAAAAAAAAAAAAAAAAAAAAATATAAAAAAAAAAAAAAAAAAAAAAAAAAAAAAAAATCTTCTCAATATTAAAAATAATTTTAAAAAAAAAAAAAAAAAAAAAAAAAAAAAAATTTTATAAATATATAAATTTATTAATTTTTAAAAAAATATTTTTTAATAAAAAAAAAAAAATTTTTTAAAGATTTATTTTTTTTTAAAAAAAACATTTAAATTTTGGCGCCGAGGCATAGCCCCCAACCCAACATAATGTAAATGTATCCATTAAGGAACTGGTTTGTTGAGAACTCTAAAGCTCTACTGAAAGGTATAACTTTGGTGGAAAAAGGTATAACTCTATTGAAAACTAATTCTTAATAGAGCATCTGCACAGCTCAAACTTCAATCCAGGTTGAACAGGCAGAAGACAAACTCAAGCCCAGACTTTTGTGGGCCAAGCATACTGTAATCAGGCCAGAGCCAGGTTTATTCTGAAAAAATTGGCATAATTCTGAAGTATTTGAGGCAATTATGATACCTTGTACCAATCCTTTAGACTTTAAAGAGTGCGCCAAAATTACGGATACATCTTTTCAGCAGATTGCCAAACGCCGTAATCAATTCAAAAACCTTAAGTGTTAAATAGAGAATTGAAGCCTGAATTGTTGCCTACATTTCTGTACCAAAAGATCTTTAATTGGAGTTTTGCAGCCCATTTTTCAGACCCTCAAATGAGCTCAATCCGTTCAGTCTCCGGTTTCGTTTTTAGCTGTTTTCTGTGTGCTGTTTTGAAGAATTTCCCGGTTGTTTAATACATGAAAAGATCGCATTTTAAATGGTATGAAAAGCGATGATAACACCAAAGTGCTTTAACAATGTTGCAGGAGACAGGCCAGACCAAAACTGATCAACCTGGGTCACGAACTGGCCTAGTCAGCCAAGTCGTTTGACTCAACCCTTCTGTTTAACTGGGTCAAAAGTCTGATTTCTTTAAATTCGAGGAACCGCTGTTAGGTAATTCCACAGATAGATGATATTAGTAAGGATTTCAACACATTATTTTCTTCTCACTCTTTATTTGTTTCCCCGTTTCCCAGATGGAGACTCCACTTCCCCGTCCTTCCATTGACCCCTCCCCATTCTATTGCCCAGTCCCCTGCCCAGCCCCGCACTACCCCATAGGGGACTACTCCTAATTCTCCATTCCTTTCATCTCTTTTCATTTCTTTTCCTTATTTTTCCCTTATTTTCTCTTCTCTTTATACCCTTTTGCCCTTCTTGGGGCCTCAAATTCCCCCTACTCACCCCTACTCACCCCTTCACCCCTTTACCCCTTCTGCCTCAGTTCCAGCCCCATCTCGTTACTCAAATTTGCCCTATTTGTCAATTCTCGCAAAGTTAGTTCAATTTACGATTTTGAGAAGGAAATGTTGTCTCTAAAACTTTTTAAAGCTCAGAAATGAATGAGCAAATAGCTTTAGCTTGGAAATTTTTAGAAATATGAAAGAAACTGCTTTTAAAGACGATTTTAGCAGTTCAAATTGTAAAAATCTTTTTTCAAAACTTGTATCAGCATTCATTTTTGAAAAATATTAAGCAAGTTTTTGTTTCTTTTCACATGTAATCGTTTGTTTTTGCTTTCACTTGGTTTCCAAGCTTTCTCAGAATTTAAACCAACAACTTTTTCTTCATTTCGAAATGTTTTTGACTTTTTTTTCTTCATTTTCAAATGTTTTTCTACTTTATTCTTCATTTTTTACTTAAATTTTAATCATTTTAAATAGCTTGATGATAATTTGCGACAAAATTCAACTAAAAATAGCGATTAAAACAACTCCCAAAGGAATTTCTAACAACTTTACTATTACAAATGAGACAATCCCGCAAAACATCGGGATTAGAGAGTGGTTTTTGATTTTTTTTTTGTGGGATTTGGGGAAACATCAGAAAACTTTTTCTTTCAAAACATCAAATCTCCAATTTCTGGACATTATTTTAGTTTCTTTACCCAAATTTGCCTATATTTTTCCTTGGAAACGACCGCGCCTCTCAAAATCCCATTGGGAACACCCATTTTTGCCATTTTTAGAGTTTTTAGAGAAGATTCTGCCCGAAAATTCCCACATTTTTTATTTTTTACTGACAAAGCTGTGAGATTTTTGCACGTTTGCTATGACGGATTTTTCCTTTTTCCTTTTTTTTGCTTCTATAATCCACCCACATAGAAAAGCGCGATAATGAGCCTCGTTTCCTGAATAATTTTCTGAAATGTTTGCAGTGAAATGATTCAGTTTATAAGTTGAATTTGAATTTATTAATCTAATGAATTTTTTGCTAGATAAACTTGAGAATTTTTCAATTAATCAAGCTTTTCTTTTAGGCAATGCAAAAATTTGTCCGGTGAAGGTTCGATTTGTACTTTGTGTTCACTATTGAACGTAAAAACACAAACCTTCTGCTGCACCGCACTTGTCTTAAAGCTAACCTTTTAAATGATGTTTGCAATGATTTTATACCGACTTTAATTAGAGATATTTTTAAAAAATGGCTTTAAAACTTTTCCGCAAAGAGTCATGACGGATTGACTTTGAAAACTGGCACTTGTCTGTTTAATTGTCTATTCTCTGTAACTTTTTCTTTAGTTTATTTTATTTTAAAGCAATATTGCTTGTTAAGAAGCTGAACTTATCCAAATCACAGCTTTAAAATAGAGTAAATTGTATGAAATTAAGGTTAAACTAAAGGAAAAGCTTGACAAGTTAGCCTTGAACTTGTTGAGAACTCTAAAGCTCTACTGAAAGGTATAACTTTGGTGGAAAAAGGTCGAGATCTGTAGGGAAAACTCTATTAAAACTAATTTTTAATATAATTAGCTATAAGTAAGATTAGCTATAAGTAAGTTAACGTTTAACGTTTACTAAGAAAAGTTCTCAAATCAATTACTCTTGCGTGACGTCATAACCTTTGAAATGAATAGCTCAAACCCAGCTAAAGTAATTTGAGCCTTTTGGCTTTTTTGAGTACATTTCAATGATCAATCGTTCTTCTTCTTTTTGGCCAAGCTTTTTGCCTTTTTCTCTTTTCTCGAATTTCAGAAGAATACCCAAAGAATTGACCGAAACCCGGAAAAAGAATGAAAAATTCTCTCCCACCCAATTCATTCAACTGGAAGGATTTTTGGGGGGAAGTCTGCTTCAATTTTTCCACAGAAATAATTTTTGGCTTTTTTTGAAAGTCACTTAGTCACATTGTTTTCATTTTTTCGTTGCTTTTGTACAGTTACTTTTGAAAGCATCCAGCTATCCAATAGCATTTCATTATTGACTTAACAATTCGATTTTGGATCTATCTATTTGAATCAATTCTTGTTTCTCATCTATTTATTTTAATCAATTCTTGTTTCTCATCTATTCATTTTAATCAATTCTTGTTTCTGATCTATCTATTTGAATCAATTCTTGTTTCTGATCTATCTATTTGAATCAATTCTTGTTTCTCATCTATTCATTTTAATCAATTCTTGATTCTCATCTATCTATTTGAATTGATTCTTTTTTCTTAGCAATAAACTTTTTCAGATAACCCAACTCATTTCTATCAAATTCTTCAGCAAAATGAATCTCCTCGGAATCCATCAATCCGCTTCAAAGCCCAGCCTCGTCTCTTCTTTTTGGAGTATACATGCACAACTACCGGTAAGCTTTCAAGAGCAATCTATTTATCTATTGAGACCCAATAAGCTGTTCAGTATAAATTAGGCTCCAATACTTTAATATCTATTGTCAATATAGAACTGTTACTACTTTAGAATGGTGAAACGGACAGCTTGGATATGAAAAACTGTTCCCTCATCTCATTGCCAGACGTCTCCGCGCAAGAACATAAAAAGTCGAAAGTCTCGAGGAGTTTAACGGGTAAGATATTATACTTTTAGGGTAGTTGTAGATAATTTGGGTGAAAATGTGAGGTGTATTATTTACTCTGAAAGAGTGAAAGATTGAGATCACAACCGACAACCGACCTCAACTCTAGAGTAGGAGTGAGTGATAGAGAAAATTTATCAGATTTCCTCAACGTCTTAACTCCTCCATAGTCTCAGGAATAAACGAGCTGTCTTGTTTTTCTGGAAGATAAGAGGATTGATTTATCTACAATTTCGGGAAGAGTAGACATGAGTTAAGGGAAGAGATTGGATCTCCGAATGAGTGAGAGTGAGATCTGGAGTCGGAGAATCGGGCAATCTGAAGACTCCCCTAGTCTGGGTCTGAAATATTGGGAAAATGATTAAACTAGAAAGTTAAATGACTAAATTAGAAAGGTTAGAGTTAGCTTTGAGTACAGAAACATAGAGAATATAGATAAAGATATTACAAAAAGACATAAAAAGAAGAGTTCTACTTCTTGTATGTTGTAAGAACGGATTTCCGATAAAGCTTTTCTTCCTAAAGTAACGAATTATCAGAAAATTTATGGACATTTTGTAAAAATCATCTTTAGATTTACGAGATGACTGTATGAATTTATCAGTTTTGTTTACGAGTCGAGAACACGAGGATCTTCATCACGTAAGTTGTTCAAGAACTTTGCGAATAAGTATTTCGATCGGCAAAAGAGTTTTCCAAAAGTTTCTTTTTGATAAAATAGCATATAAAGTAGCCTAGAAAAGTAGTCTATAATTTGTAAAAACTATCGTACTCACTTGAAAGTTTAAAACCAATGAATGAGCCTGAATATTAATACCTCTAAAATCATTTTGTTTAACTTTTAACTTTTAACTTACCATCCACTTTTACTACATTTTTACTCAACTAAATCTAAATTTTCTAACCATTTTTTAATCAATTTCTAATCTATTAGGTTTTCCAATAAGTAATGCGTGTTTTGACACGATTTTCAAAATATCACAAAATTAACAAAAGGACGAGCATTGTCAAACTGCAGTTTAATCATCGAAGTGTCCTCTCCTTTACGACAAAGAGCTTGCTGCACCCTTTCCAATTGTTGAGAGTACAAGTCAGCAACGACTGGCCTTCCAGCGCGTTCCTCGTCCTCTAACGACTCGTTTCCGTCCGCAAATCGTTTAAACCAGCGCTGGCACTGGCTGATTGAAATTGAATCCTCTCCAAATGCGGCACAGATAGTTCGATGGCAATCCGCTGCAGTTTTACCTCGTTTGAAATCATACAGCATTGATGCGCGGACAACAAACTTTTTGTCTTTCATCTGCAAAACAACATATCTATTATAAAACAAAGGCAAATGAATAAAATAATATATAAAAATAAACACAAGATGCTGATGATTAAAAAGAGCATATATTTGCTCGAAGCGATTTCGCAATTGTTTCGAAATAAGTAACACGCATTACTTATTGGACAACCTAATAAAAATGCCAATGAATCAATACGGTTAATATTCAAAATATCCATAAATATTTAAATAGCTTTTCTTTTAGGTAAAAGGCAAAGAAAACATCAGTGTCAACATCCAAGAATGGCTTCAGAATGTGCAACCTGGTGCCGCTCCACCTGAAAATAAAACGTAATACGTGAAAGTTTTTCCTTATTTTTGTACAAACATTGTTTTTTTTTTCCTCCTTTTTATGACTATAATGGGTTGTTTATAATGTACTGTTGTGCATATGATTTTTGCCTTTTTTTGACCGTATTGATGAGTTTTAGAACAATTTACTGTATGATCTTTTGGATTTCGTTTAAAAAACGGTTTCTTGAAGTTCTTGAAGTGCTGTGACAGTAAAGTTTACATCAGAAATCGTTGAAATCAGAAAACAGATATGAAATAGATCAGCTTTTCAGGTCAATTTCAACCTTGAGCATCTTCTAAAATGAGGCAACTTTTTTGATCAAAAATACAGCAAAATTGAGGGCAAAAATTGGCTTCAAAAGGAAAGCACTATATACCAGAGGGGTTTGCCAAATGGAGAGCGATTGCCCGGTACCACAAAGAACATCTTTCTCAAGGGCTTTTTGATTTGTCCTGGTACCCGGTCAAGATATTAAGCTGGAAATTAGCACTCACTAGGGATGCACACAGATTGAACACCGCCTTCAGCAAAACGACAACATGCTGTCGTTTTGCGCTGAAACTCCAGAGTTAGCCCACAATCCATTTAGGTTAGTCTTCAAGTTTTTGAATCCATCATGAACCTCTTGTATCCTTGCATCCAGCGCTTCCATACTGATGCAATGGAGATGTCTAGACAGATTTGGGTGTCCCAAGCTTACAATTTGCTTGCAAGCTTGTAATTTGGGTTTTGCATAAGCCGTTTATAAGAAGTTTGGTACTTGTCTGGTACTGTCACTAACTAGGGATGCACACAGATTGACTACCGCCCCCAGCCAAACGACAACACCCATTTTATTCGAAAAATTTCTTGGATCTGAAAAAGTAGGTCTCCGGTGTACCAAGTAGACAAAATTTTTGAGAAAAATGGCCTTAAAGTTGATGATTTGTGAAAGGTTTTTCGAATTTCTGGCACACCACTTTTGTCAAGCATAAAAGGCCCAAATGCTCTCTTGAAAAAGTGCCTTGTAGCCTAGTGGTTAGTGTGGAAGTCCGTGATCAGATACTAATTTTGCAAGATATCAAAAAAGTTTGCCCGTCGTCAAACCAGGAAACAAAAAAAAAATGCATAGGCACTGATCACGAACGCCCACGCTACAAGGCACTTTTTGAGAGGAAGCATTTGGGCCTTTTCTGCTTGACAAAAATAGTGTGCCAGAAATTCGAAAAAGTCTTTCAAAAATCATGAACTTTAAGTTCATTTTTCTCAAAAATTTTGTCTTCCTGGTACACCGGAGATCTACTTTTTCAGATTCAAGAAATTTATTCGAACAAAATGGGTGTATCGTTTGGCTGCAGGCGGTGGTCAATCTGGGTGCATCCCTAGTCAGAAGTTTTGCTCTAGGAATTTTTTTCGTGGTCTTGGCGGTCTTTGTCGTATCTTTCTTTAAATTTGCAATTTATTGAGCCTAAGTAGTTAGCTTTAGTCTGATTCTGTGTGGGTTGACAAAGGATATCGAAAGATCAAAAAGTAGATGGGATAAAACTGGAGGTAGGGTTATTGAAGTTTTTGGAATTCGATACGTAACTCTACAAGTACTTAGACTCTAAAAGTAACAAATATTTCAGCCCAAAGTATCGGCATAACTTTGCGATTTTGCTTTTTTCATTTTTGTACCCAAAAACTTGATCATTCTGAGTTTTTGGCCGAAAAAGGTGAAAAGTCGACAATAATTTTGGGATTAAATATTCAAAAATAGCGAAAAGAGAGCCGTTTCATGAAACAGGTGCTTTTTGAGAAAGCTGTAAATGAATTTGGAGACAAGATTTGTCTTCATATTCATTAAAGAATTCAATTTCGCAAAATGACTACAATTCCACCGTTAACCCAATTTTCTATGATCCAGGAACGCAAAAATCGATTGTTTCCCTATTTTTGTATCACATTTTCCACTCTACTTCATTCGACTTTTGTCTGCTATATGATTGTTTTCCAAACACCCCATCGATTCATCAGATATCGACGATATTTGTTGGAGCAACTGGTTTGCAAAGAAAATTTTCGAGATCCCATTTCCTGAATAGGAGGGTTAAAGTCAGACAATGAAAATTCTTGATTTGAAAAATCATGATTGATGCAAAGCTAGGAAATGCAACGCAAGAAAGAAAGAAACTGTAGAAAAAGGCTTTTTCTACATTCTATCATCTATTCTTAATATCTAATAGTCTTCTAATATCTAATAATAAATCTAGACTAATGTCATCGTAAGTCTAGCTTCAAGCTAGCTCTCGAGTTAATAGTTTATGGTCCTGGGGCTGGAATACAAAACATGGCTTGGATTCGAACCCACGACCTCTCGCTTACCAAGCGAATGCGCTACCAATGAGCTACACCAACACTTGTCCCATTACGGCCAAGATAGGGCCTTAGCCACATGGGCTTTAACTTGTCCTAGTAAGGACTAAGACAAGTTAAAGCTCATGTGACTCATCCTCAATTGTCAAAGTCAAAGCCCATCCTCAATTGATCCTTGCCCATGTGGCTGTCCTATCCCCAGAGCCGGGATGAAAAAGTGGACACATACGTTTCAGGTGACTTGGGTTCTTAAGCTGGAAGTGCCGGTCTTTTTATGGGCTGGGGCTGGGGATACAAAACATGGCTGGGTTTCGAACCCACGATGTTTCGTTTACCAAGCGAACGCTCTACCAATGAGCTACACAGAAAAGTATCCCATTGCCGCCAGGGTAGAGCCTTATGCCTTACTTAGCCCTTGATTTAGCTTCTTGCTGGATTTGTTAGTATGGGCCAAGGTGGACACAGATTTTAGAAAGTTCCCAGGCCAGGCTGGCCAGGCTGGCTAGCGCTGCTAGCAAAAGTTGACTGCTACCATGGCCCTACTTAACTTTTCTTTAGCTTTGGATATGGCTTTGGAAAATCCCTGTTCCCTGTTCACTCTGAAGTTAATTTTAGTTTCATTTCTTCTGGTTTGAGATCTGCAAGGTGCTGTTCACATCTCAATACACCGTTGTAGAAAAAGGACTAACATTCAATGGCTTTTCTTCGATTTTATCTTTCTTCACCGATCAAGTTTCTTTTCGAATTTTATATGTAAGTTAATTTGGCTACTAGTACAGCGGCCTTGTTTAAGATCTTTGACTACATCACTTTTGTCTTTGTGATGCGTGCTTGCTTCAACTGTTTCTATCAAAGAATGATCTCGCTATCAAGCGAAATCGAGAAGAAACGATTAGATCGGCTTTTTCTTGTATTTGATATCTTGCTTTTCTTTATTCAACATATTGCCATTCTTATTCATTTCGAGATGGTCACTGTGGGAGTTGATGGAATCCGAGAAAGGCTGAGCAATTCCACGATGACTTTTGATAATGATCAGACGTTGTTTGTCTTTAGGACGTCAGAAGATCAAAATTTGAACGCTCTTTTTGTGGCTTTATATCTTTGGTAAGCTTGCTAGCTGACGCATTACAATAGCTAATATACATATATAAAAGAACAGTGTCTGTCTGTATGTCTGTCTCTACGGGTATTTTCTCAGCCAATAAAGCTAACCAATAAAGTTAAAACCTTTAGAAAGCCGCAGAATAGATTGTAGTTGTGCCATTCTAAAAAAATTTGAAAAAATCAACGTGAAACAACCAGGAATTGAACCGGAACCGTGTGTGTGAGAGACCAGCCGGTTGCCGACTGCGCCACGACGATCCAAAACAGCAGCCAGAAAAGCCCGCTGAAAACCGCGTTTTTTTAGATATCGTACCAGAATAGAACATATCTGTTGTCTTCAGGCTGAAATGTGCTTTACTTGAGAACCAGCTGAGGGTTTTTCTCGAATTCTGGGGGACCACTGCTCCACGGCTTTTGTCGCCGTGGAGCAGTGGATAGCGCGCTGGTCTATCGCCCATCTGATCCGGCTTCGACCTCCCCGTGCGACTCGAATTGTGCTTCTTAAAAAATCTACAAACATTTTGCACAACTACATGTAATTCCCAATTCAATGGCGCAAAAATCGTTGCAAACGGCCCCTTGGGAGCTGAGGAGTAGCGCGCACAAACAGACAGACGAACAGACAGACAAACAGACAGACAAACAGACAGACAAACAGACGGACAGGCAGACGGACAGACAGACAAACAGACAGACAAACAGACAGACAAACAGACAGACAAACAGACAGACGGACAGACAGACGGACAGACAGACGGACAGACAGACGGACAGACTGACGGACAGACTGACGGACAGACAGACGGACAGACAGACGGACAGACAGACGGACAGACAGACGGACAGACAGACGGACAGACAGACGGACAGACAGACGGACAGACAGACGGACAGACAGACGGACAGACAGACGGACAGACAGACGGACAGACAGACGGACAGACAGACGGACAGACAGACGGACAGACAGACGGACAGACAGACGGACAGACAGACGGACAGACAGACGGACAGACAGACGGACAGACAGACGGACAGACAGACGGACAGACAGACGGACAGACAGACGGACAGACAGACGGACAGACAGACGGACAGACAGACGGACAGACAGACGGACAGACAGACGGGCTTAGTCCCTCTATATATAGTCGCTTATTTGTAATGCCGACTTGATATGGGCTAAAGCATGACTTGAAAACCGTAACCCAGCAAATAGAAGTTACAGTAACCCCCAGTTCTCCCATAATCACAAAAGTTACTGTAACAGTAACTAACTTGAAGATATGAAACGGAAACTTCTATAAATCCTAAAGTAAATCCTGCTTTTTTTTGGTGTACTGTGATAAAACAAAATACTGACTACTATAGTTTTCCAATAAAAATAACTTTAGCATTTTCTCTTGTGCGCTTGCCTATATCCTCTACAAGACTTTGTCAAATCTGTTAAAGACAATGTCTCTAATGTCTCCGAAAACGCGATCAATGCACATCAATCTACTTCTGCATCTTGTTTTACAAGTAATCGAATGAAATCTAATCTATACTTTTGAAATTCTAGACAATATTGCTGGGAGTTTTTGCTGGCGGACCACAAGTGTTGTTTTTTGTGTTAAAAGAGGCGACAAATAGTCTCAAAAGCAGTGATTTTATTCAGCAATACGTCAGTGGTAAGGAAAAGACTTGATTTAGCATTAGATCTGTAACTAACTGTCCCAAGTTATTGGGTTGATGGAAAAGTCCTTTCCGATTTTTTGGGAGAGTACCTTAAATTTGTCCAATTTTGACGTTTTATAGCTCATCCTAAAGCTGAATTCAAGACGGATCGATTGGTAAAAACCGTTTTGAGATATCTCTTTTCTAAAAGTTTTTACAGCTATTTTAGTAAAGGGCGGCAGAGTCAAAAAATGGCTGTTTTCACGTTTCGTTAGTTTTCCGTGCAGAAACCTAGGCTAAAAACATGTGTTTCGTGATCAGCGTCAAAAATAACCCCTAGACACAAATTTTCAGAAGCTTAGCAAAAATTTTTTGAAAAATATTGTCACCGGTGGAAGTCGAACCAGCGACCCTCAGATCAATAGCCTTTCCGCCGCTTTTCGCGTTTGGCGATTTTCCTTCGTTTTTCCCCCTTTTTTTTTGTTTTATCATTTTTTTGATAACAACATCAGGACAAATTTAAGGTACTCTCCCAATACTTTAATGCTGGACTAGTTGAGCTAAACCTAAATTTAGTAAGACTATGTAAGAAATTAGTCAAATAGTAATCATCGAAATATCATTTTGTTAGCTGTATTGCTGTATAATGGACTCTAAATGCTATCTTTAAAATACACTCACAAAAATTGAACTTTTTAAAGACGGAGAAGAAGCCTAAAGCCATCGCAATTTCGATTTAAAATAGTATCGAGCTAAAAATTTGATTTGATTCAATGCGGGTGAACTGATTTGACATTATGTTAACACATTTAATGATATTTTGAGCGTACAATCGCGTAGTCGTTAACTTTTTTACTGATAATCTGATAAAATTCAAAGATAAACTAAACTATTATACTCATTCGATAGCTCTGAATCTCCTCTTGAAAGCTAGTACAAATTTGCTGAAAACTTTCTGCGAAATGAAGTTCTTAGAAAAGTTCTTAAAAAGATTGAGCTGACACTAAAAAATCGTCATTAGTTCGGCCCACCGGTGAGCTGTATCGTTGTGAATTTGTGGATCTTTCCGGTTAACGGGGGATAAGTTTTTTTTGGTCAACTTGCAGCTAATTTTTACCCACCTTAAACTTATCAAATCAGAAAGTTTTAATAAGATTTGGATAGCTTAGAAAGTCAGCTTTCAGAAACTATTTATCTTATCGAAAGTTATTAACAAAAACCTATCTAAAATCGGGCTGCAAGTAGGCCAAAAAACCCCTCTATATTCAACGGAAAGATTCGAATTTGTTAAAAGAAAAACTGATCAAAAAGAATCAATTTAGTTGCTAACTGGTTGTGCTTATTGAGTTGGACCCAAATAGGCACAACGATTTCATTTCTCACCATTGTTATCATCAATCCGTATCGGTTAGCTTTCATCTTTACAGATTTTTGGAAACTTATCGGGTTGTCCAGTTAAGAATGCGCGTTTTTTTATTATTTTGTAAATTTCTCAAGATATCGAACAGATTTATATGAGTGTTATATATCATTCGAAAGCTGAAGATCTCCTCTACATTTTGATATAAAATGTTTTTGAATTTGTCCAGCTTTTGGGCAAATTGACTGCACAGAAGAAGAGGTGGCCAAAAAAATGGAAGGGTGCCTTCGGATCAAGTTTTGGCTCCGCTCAAATTGAGTTAACCGTTTGATGTTTGGCCAATAGATATATCAATACAACTTGTTTTTAAATATAACAATTTCAGAGCATCTTTACTTTTCTTTTCTTTTCTGGGCGGTTATTTTACATCATAAAACTTGAGGAATAGCTAAGTTGAAATGGGTTTTTTCGAAAACGAGCTCTCCCTTTGTGCAGCCAATTTGACAAAAGCTGAACAAGTTCAAAAGCTTTTTATATCAAAATGTAGAGGAGATCTTCAGCTTTCGAATGATATATAACACTCATATAAATCTGTTCGATATCTTGAGAAATTTACGAAATAGTAAAAACGCGCATTCATAACTGGACAACCCAATATTTCAAATTTCATTTTTCAGAAACAAAATCTTGAAAGCTCTTCAACTTGTTATCGAGAGAGTCCTCAAAATTGACTTGGAAATAAAGCCGAATCTCGAATTACCGACAAATTTGAATCTTTCGACGAGACGAGAAACGGTTTCCAATCCTCCACAAGTGCAATTGTCGCTGTTTTGAATAAAACAATCTTTCCTCCGAAATTCAAAACTTCAAATAACACAAATAAAGATCAAAAATCAAAAAAGAACTGATTTTTTGGCATATTTTTACCGATCAACAAGATTTCCCAACAAGAAATCCCAACTCTTTTCGCTAATTCTTGGACAATAATGGTCGAATCCCTTCTCTATCCATTTCGTTCCACCCGGCGATCAAGTCAAAAACGAGCGGACGGCAAACATAAAATCTCGGCTCGTGCCTTTGTGCTGAAACAGTGCGATTACCGTTTCTTTGAGGGGAGTTTCCCAGCACACTTTAGCTGTTCTCTCGTTTTCCACAAAAAGCTTTTAATTGAAAGTTTTACTTCCTTGAAAGTTAGACCTTTTTCAGATAAAATGAACCATTTGAACTCTTATAATTTGAATTTGAATCACTTTCTAATATCGAATCTTTTGAATCTTCAATTGTTTACTAAAACTTCAATCGTTTACTAAAAAAGCACTTATTTTAGATTAACTTGGTGCTTTTACTTGAAATTAGGTGCTTTTATAGATGCTTTTATATAGAAAATCGGCTAAATTTTGAAGTAGGACTACGTAGAACTACTCAAACTTTGCAGTTTGAGTAGTTCTACATAGTTCTACAACTTTACAGCTTGAGTAGTTCTACATAGTTCTACCAGTTTACAGTTTGAATAGTTCTACATAGTTCTATAGTTTTACAACTTTACAGTTTGAGTAGTTCCAAATAGTTCTATAAGTTTACAGCTCGAGTAGTTCTACATAGTTCTACAAGTTTACAATTTGAGTAATTCTACATAGTTCTACCAGTTTACAATTTCAGTTAAGCATTGCATTTGAAAGATTACCAATATCAGCTCTAGATCATAAACTAGAATAGCTCTAGATCAGCTCTAGCTCATAAACTAGAATAGTTCTACAACTTTACAGTTTGAGTAGTTCTACATAGTTCTAAAACTTTACAGTTCGAGTAGTTCCAAATACTTCTACAACTTTACAGTTTAGGTTTAGCATTGCATTTAAAACACTACCAATATCCGCTCTAGATCAAAAACTCGAACTTTATAAGGGTTTAACTAATTTTCTTGCATTTCCTTTTCTTTTATATGATATCCAGCTTTATCTTGTATCAGTTTAAACATTTTTTCATGAAAAAAAACATTTAGGATGCGGTGGTCCTCAATTTCGGGTATCTCCTTTCTTCTCTTTTCGCTATTTACAGTTTGTCTTGCGCAAACGAGAGAAGAGCAATTCGCGAATCCACCCAAAGACTATGAGTTCGTTTTTTTTCAATTCTTTAAGCCTAAAAATCTTTCAGAAGACACCTCGTCTTCCGAGTCATTCCGAATAACACCGAACAATTGAGTCTGCTCAACAAGTTGTATCTGGAATCGCACGAGTTTCATGTAAGTGCGAAAATTACAGTAAATATTGAAGTGTAATAGAAGATAGTTAATAATTGAATTTCTTTCTGACATCTTGTTCCTGGTGCTCAAGTTTCATCAACTAGTTTGCTCTAGTATCGTCAACTAGTTTGCTCTGTATCGTCAACTAGTTTGCTCTAGTATCGTCCTGTTGAAGCACGAGGATAGACTTGAGCTCATCTAGGATCCATCCAACAATTTCCAAGCAATACCAGCCAAGGCATACTCATGACCTTGTTATCCCAATCCAAATTAGGCTAGGCTATCTACTATATAAAAGGTAAGTGTCTGTCTGTCCGTCCGTCTATCCGATCTCAATAATTTTTTCTTTGTTAGATAAAGAATTTTAGGTAGTTGTGCATTCTCAAATTTTAAATTCTTTAAAAGCGAAAATCAGGGTACAAATCGAGGTTTCATCATCAACTTTTTAAGAGTTAAAAACCGTTAAATCATGCCTCTCAGCGGTTCTTATATAATAGCTTTTATAGAGTTTGGTTTGCTCTGATCTAGCCCTGATCCTGACCTCTGATCTAGCTCTGATTAGTCAGGGTTAAGCCTGTCCATGACTCTGAGACTTAAGCTTGAGCAGGCAGCAGCAAGGCTGAGGACAAATCCTGACAAATCAAAGACATTATACTCTAAACTTTTATCCAAAATAAAAAAAACAAAGTTCAGTTGGACTTCTGGAAACCCGCCACCGGTCTTCACCAATATGCTGATGTGATGGTGCCAGAGAGTCGCGCGAAATTCCTCGTCAACACTCTCAATTCGACTGGAGTCTTTTGGAGGGTCACGATTCCCGATGTTCAGAGGTAAATCAAAACTTTCTTATTCAATTTAAACAATTTTTTAGACTGATCATCGAACGCGAGTCCCCGAAACAGACTTCTTGGTTCTCACGGCTTGGAAACAATTTCATGACAAGACTTTTTAGCAGGCAAAAGAAAGAAACTGGAGCTTATGTAAGGAAGAAAACTAGCAACTAGATTTGAGCAACTAGATTTATTCGATTTGGGTTTTCAGTACGGATTTGGTGATTATCATAACTATGACGAGATCATGAGATATTTGGATGATGTGGCGAGGATTTATCCGGACATTGCAAAGACTTTCATTGCTGGGACAACGAATGAGGGACGAGAGATGAAAGGAATTAAGGTGAATGAAATTTTCTAGAAAAAATCGACCGTAGTCGTTTTTATCGTAGCCTACTCTACCGTAGCCTACTACCGGAAATCTACCGTAATCTTGTAATCTACAGTTGTCACAAGTTCAAAGTTAACTTAATCTAGATCGGAAACCCCGCTGAAGACACCACAAAGCGTGTCGTTTGGATTGACGGTGGAATGCATGCTCGCGAGTGGGCCAGCGTTCACACAGCTCTCTATTTTATCAAACAAGTGAGACAGCTAATGATTTATTCTATATTTGTTCTATGTCTGTACTTTAAGCTCAAATATCTTGGTGTTGGGTTGTTTAATTCCAAAATTTTTGATATTATTAGATGCACCAAGTCTTTTTCTGCCGATTGGTATAAAAACTATTGCAATTGGACAGCTCAACACCAAGATATTTGAGCTCAAAGTTAGATTGCCAATGGCAAAAGGGTCGGGGCTTAACGGATAACCTTTTATACGCGCCTTTGATACGGCAAAGGGGGCGCGCGCGTATAAAAGGTGGTCGGACGTCTGATAAGCCCCGCCCCTTTGCCATTGACAATCGATCTTTGAGCTCAAATATCTTGGTGTTGGGCTGTTCAATTTCAATATTTTTAGTATCATTGGATGAGCCAAGTCTTTCTCTGTCGATTGGTACAAAAACTATTGAAATTGAACAGCTCAACACCAAGAAATTTGAGCTCAAAGTTAGATTGCCAATGGCAAAGGGGGCGGGGCGCGTATAAAAGGTTGTCGGACATCTGATAAGCCTCGCCTCTTTTGCCATAGGCAATCTATCTTTGAGCTCAAATATCTTGGTGTTGAGCTGTTAAATTTAAATAGTTTTTGTATCAAGCGATAGAGAAAGACTTGGCGCATCCAATGATTCCAAGAATATTTAAATTGTACAACCCAACACCAAGATATTTGAGCTCAAAGATCGATTGTCAATGGCAAAGGGGCGGGACTCGTATCAAGGTCCCAAAATCATTTTCAGCTCGTCGAAAACTACAATCGAGACCCACAAATCAAGCGCTTTGTTGAAGAGTTGAACATTTACATTCTTCCGTGCGTGAATCCGGATGGATACGAGTACACTCGAAGTGATATCACCCCAAAAGTCAGCTCTTTGGTCCAATTTTTTGACTACAACCGCTCAGGCTCGACTCTGGAGGAAAAACCGAGGCCGAATCAATTGTAAGAACAGCCGCTGGTGGGGGAAAATCTGTTGCGGGGGGACGGACTTGAATCGAAATTTCGATTATCATTGGAGTGGTGAGAATTTTCTTGAGAAAAAAACAGATAAGTAATATTATAGAAACTGGATCCTCAGCATCGACCTGTTCCGAGGTTTACCAAGGAGACTATGCATTTAGTGAGCCGGAATCTAGGTAGGTATAGTAAATCATCCGCTTAGGGTCTAGGTAGGCCGGGCTACAAACTACAAACGCTTCTAACTTGCTTCAAATCTGCCGGATTGACATGATCTATAGCTCAAAAAATAGAGAATCTCGAGAGCTTTCGAATGGACTAAAGTAGACTCAAAAGGATCAATGCTAAAGAAAGTTACAGTGGTTTATAGCCGACTCGATTGCTTCGAGTACGGTCGAGTACGGTTCAAGAGACTATAAAACATTGTAAAGTTCTTTAACAGAGTTAGGCTCTAGGTACAGCAGTTCTAGATATAGTACAGTAGTCTAGAACCACTTCCAATCTACAATTTCAGAGCTGTCCGAGACATGTTGATGTCAAATGAACTCTACGGAAAGACAGACGCTTTTGTGACAATGCACACTTATGCTCAGGTTTGAAAAGTAGAGGTCTAAACTTACAATTAAAGTTCTAGATGTGGATGCATCCATATGGTACAAGGACTGGCGATTATCCAAACGATGTAGCGGAATTGGTTGCTCTTTAAAAGCTTACAAAGAACTCTATTATTTAGAGAGATGTAGCTCGTCGAGGAGTCAATGCTTTGGGCAGCGTCTATGGCACCCGTTTCTCTTATGGAACTGGAGCCGATCTAATGTGTGAGTTAAGAAATTCTTGTCTTCACAAAACTTGTTAGATCCTTCTTCTGGTGGCTCGGATGATTGGGCAAAGGGGAAAGCGGGAGTGAAGTACACGTATCTCTTGGAGTTGAGGCCATCGGAGAGCTGTGAGTTGTTAGCTCATAGAAAATCCAGTTCACTTTCAGCATAAGCAGTTCACTTTCAGCTTGGGACGGTTTCCTTCTTGATCCAAGACTTTTGATTCCTGTCGGAGTTGAAACTTGGGAAGGAGTTAAGGTAATTTCTTGCAAATTACATTTTCAATACCTTTTTCAAATTCAGGTAGTGATTCAAGAAGTACTCGACCGAAACAGGAACGGCGCTGTTGATGGCGAGTGAGCGGCAAACAATCGAATCTAACAAAGAAATCATTTCAGTTAGAAGCTTTTCGGCTCCAGAAACCGGAAGTAGAATGGCTTGGTGGATGAGGCCAACGACAAAATATTGGGAAACAACAACGACAGCATCAAAAACGACAAAAGCTTGGTGGGAAACGACAACAACTGAGGCGCCTTGGTGGTTGAAACCCGAGTATCAAACAACGACGACACCCAGGTGAAAGCCAAAGAGCCGGATCTGTTGCTAGACCAAAATTGCTAGCAAACCTAGTTATAAGCCGGAACAAAGCTTGGCTTTAATACAGTGCGGTGCAAAACCATACGCTGCCCCCTAAATTTCAATTTTCTGCGGCTCCCGTGCTAGTGACAAAAAAACTAAAAACGTAGTTAGATTCAGGACCACAAAATAACCCTTAAACCCCAAAAACCATCGACATAGCATAAATAGGGAAAATGTAAAAGCCAAAAAACGAAAATTCACCCAGTGCAAAACCATACGAGGTTTTTTGGTCATTTTGTATGGGAAATTTTGTGGTACTCTGCAGTTTGGAGCTCGTAACTCGACAACGAGGGTCTAGAACCAAAAATGAGGGGATAAGTTTTATTCTAGAGACTCTTACGAACATTTTGATACAAAAATCATGAAATTTGCTCAACTCTACAAAAAGTTATAAAATCTTTACATCACGTTGCACATGAGTTGGAGAAGACGATCCTAAAAAAGTTCTATCAACAAAGCCATCCGTCCATTAATTCAATGAAAAAACTCAACTTTGTCGATAGCAGACGATGAGATGAAAAAATACGAAGCAGAATGAAAAAGAGGCAGCGAAAAGTTGCACAATTTTAAAAAGCCAGCAAATTTGCGTACGACTCTAGAAAAGGGTGTCTTTTAGAAAGCGGAAATGTGAAGATTACGGTAGCTTTTGAACGTTTCCTTTCAAAACTTAATAACTCTGCGCTGAGTTATCCGATTTTTATCTTTTTTTTACTAAAACTTGAGCTTGAGCCAAGCACAAAAACTAGCCATTAGCAGCACCTAGAATATCCTGGATACAAAACTGTCACAGATTTCATAACTTGTGTTGAATGGCACTTGATCATGGTTCATTTTAATGTTATATATCAAAACCCAGCCACTTTTAGACCAACTCCATGATGGGAAACGACAAACAGACAGATTTTTAACTTATACAGGGTTGTTTCAAAGTTTTAGCCAGTTCCTGGCGGGCTTTGGTCTAAAAACCAGGTCCTAGAGGGTTTTGATCCAACAACCAGGCCCTGGCGGGTTTTGTCTGGTCCAAAGCTAAACCTGGGCTTAGTTTCAGGCCTAACCATTGTCTAACTTATAAGATTGAAATTATGGCTTATAGTTAAGCCATTACTTGCTAGAAAATCAAGCAATTTTTAGACCAACTCAGTGGTGGGAGACGACAACAATGCCTACAACGAAAGCCTGGTGGGAAACGACAACAACAGTTCCTTGGTGGTTCACTACAACAACCGTGCCGTGGACAACCGCTAGACCATGGTGGCAGACAACTACAGCCACACAAAGCTCACAATTGAAATCTCACAAATCGAGAGCTTGGACTTACAAGGAAAAGAATAGAGAATGTCGAGATCAAGTGCCTTGGTGTGAATCGTGGAAGCAAGGAAATCCAACGTTCTGTCAAGTGAGAGATTCATTGTCAGGGGATGAGAAAACCCTCAAAGTATTCTACTTTGTAGAAATTCAATGGAAATTTGAGAATATTGATTTAAATTTTGTTGTAGACACTTTAAAGTACGGTATAGTATTGCTAAAAATGAACGAAATCATTTCAGAAACCTTCCTTCACCGTAGCCACTCAATGTAGCCGGACTTGTAACATTTGCTGATTTATAGATTGTTTTTAAATTTCAATGAATAAATGAGTACAAGATTACAGGCTTAAAAAGATCAAATCAAAGATCAAACAAATAATAGATCAAATTAGCCAAAAAGCTTTGTTTTTAAAGAAATTGCATTCAACTGTCACTTTCAAAATTTATAATTTTCATCACTCGCCTCTTCAACCTTCAACTGGTTGATTTTGAAACTTAAAAATACTTTAATACTACAGTATGCAAGCAGTAATTGTCACTAAAATGTACTGAAAATGAGAACGATAACCATTGTGAGACGTTAACAGTATCATTAACACTCTTTTTGAACAGTAGTCAACGTTTATTCGTTGACTATAAAACGAGCCGTAAATTTTCAAGTAAAACTAAGTTCTCCTCGCCGTATATTTCACAAAATCCGGTCTAAATTCGTTTTCTTTATGAAAGCGAAGAGAAAACATAGAAAATCCCAGAAATTTTGATCTTTAAAGCCAATCTAATTAGATAAAAGGACCAATTTTGGTGGAAGACCAAACGAGAAACGCAATCGACACTTCTCGGCAAGTTTTTCCCAGTTTAACTTCAATCTTTTTCTTATAAATCACCGCATTGATCTGTCCGGATTAAAGGCTTCAAATGCCGAAAGAGAAAATTTGCCTCTTGCCGTTGGCTCAACGTATGTAACTTACAAAAAAGTTCAATTAACCAATTCCGAAGTCCAGTACTTATTCCAGTCAATCATTAGTCCAGTCAGTCCAGTCAATCAATATTATTGGAAGGTTTGGCTTGGTTTGGTGGATTTTGTCCCAATGAAAAATGTTTACATCAAAATTTCTTTACTATCTTTTACTACTAAACATCAATCATTCATCATCAATCAATCAATCCGATCTAAATTCCTTTTCTTTGTGAAAGCGAAGAGAAAACACAGAAAATCCCAGAAATTTTGATCTTTAAAGCCAATCTGGTGAGATAAAAGGACCAATTTTGGTGGAAGACCAAACGCGAAACGCAATCGACACTTCTCGGCAAGATTTTTTCAGTTTAACCTCAATCTTTTTGACTTTATTTCTTATAAATCACCACCTTGATCTGTCTGGATAAAAGCGTTCAAATCTCGAACGAAAAACTTTGTCGGTGGCTCAACATGTGTAATTTTTGGTTTTTACCAATTCTTCAGTCCAATCCAGTCAGCCAATTTGGGTCTTTTTGCTACTAGAAACACAAAATTCGTTTAAAATCCCTTTTTAGGTTTTAAGGTTAGACTAAAACCCTCCTAGAAGCCAGGACTTGTAATGCCAGGTCAGAGATTCCTGCCCCAACTGAGCAGACTCTCCAATCCGCTAGACCAACTAGACTGGGCTGAGCTGAACTGTTATTCAAACACCTAACCCAGAGTTATTTCCATTCTTGATTCTTTAGCTGCTCAAGATTTTGACGTTCTTACCAGTGAAAATGTATAATGCGCAATTTGGGTCACTTGGTTCAAGATTCTGCCGTTTCTTCACAAACAAACAAGATAAAAAAAAGCAGTAAATATTATCTATTATGTGATGGTGATAATACAGTACAATACTAATAATTCAATTATTCAATAACTAATAATTCAATTATGCAAACAATCCCAGAAAGAATTTTCCAACCTTGACAAAAGCGGTTGCATATCCGATCGCTTTTCTCAACCAACGCTTGAATCGGTCCCCGAAATTTCTCTTTCTCCGTCCAGCCAAATTCTTCGATACTCTAGCCGATATTCTTCGAGACATTAGCTGCTTCTTTTGGACCTAAAATGCAAAACAGAAGATCGCTGTGTGTTCCCTTAGTGCCAGCACAATCGCGCGCGGTCTGGCATATTACATTGGCAGATATCCTCCCCTTTCCACTGTTCAAATCGGAAGCGTCCATTTTGGGTCATCCGGTAACCAATCCGTTTTCTGCCCCATTTGGTCACCGCTTCCCAAACCCAACTTTGGCTGTAGAATTGGTTAACCCAATTCCGGCCCATTTTGACCAATATGGCGGGTTCTCTGTCGGTTGGAATGGGATCCCAAGTACCTGTAAAAGGGTGCTGAAGGGAGCCGCTGTGAATTTTTGGATTCATCCCAAGGATTTCGGTCCGCAGGGGCAGCAAAAACTCATGAAACGTAGCGGGCAAAAGTTCGATTATGTTCAACGTACAGCCAACTCCGTGCCTGAAAAAAGTTGAAAGCAAAAAAGTTTGGAACAAACGGGAATTGAATCTGACACCCCCCGACAGAGAGTTTTGTAGACGGGACCACAACCACCTCGACCACGCAAAAGTATCGTGGTGGTGATCATGGTGGCTCAGAAATTTCGTATAGGAAAGTCATGAAATCGGGAAAAAGTGACAAAAGATTAGAAATTTGCCCGCCGAAAATATTCCCTTTGGCACCACAAAAACCGCCAGGAGCCACTAGAAATTCTGAGATAAATCGCGCTGTACTGACTCTTTTTCGAACACCCTGTAGTTCCCTTTTTATCCCTACGCCTTACATACGCGCCACCTTATATACGATCGACATATTTAGATGAATAAAAGTGAACTTTGTGTTTTGCTTTGTCACTATTGGAAAAAAGGTCTGTCTACGAGATCTGCTGCTGAAGTGATTTATGAGGTGGTAGGCGAAGAAAGTGTATATCTAGACCTTCTATACGTGCCGTCTTATATACGTACCGCCTTATATACGCGCCACCTTATATACGCCTCGCAAGGGGGGGGAACTATTGACAAAACTGCTGAGATTGAGTGGTTCAAACGCTTCAATGGCGGTGATTTTGCTTTTGAAGATAAGAAGTTGATGAAGCATGAGTTCTTTGTTTCAAAGGAGCCGGCTTGGTACTTCGAGCAGATCCGAAATCTTGCTGATGGATGGCAGAAGATCATAGAGAATGACGGACTATACTTCGAAGAGTGAGCGTTGTTGTTTTCATTGATTATTTGCAAATAAAAATTGAATTTTTCTGCAAGTGACCAGGAACTTTTTTAACAACCTAATATTCCTTATTATCGGTTTTGAGGAATACTAAATTTTCAAACTAAAAAGCTTTAAGGAACACAGGATAAATGTTTAGCATTTTAATTATTGTGATTTTATGCCAATGATTGGATTCTTGATAATTTGTAGGTACTCTTTGGGTGTCCTGATGCAAGTGGAATGGAGGAACGGTTGACGGTCGGTTCAATGAATGTAGATCGACTGAGAAATCAAGAAGCAATTAGGTTTAGTAATGTTTTTTATGTAAAAACATATCTTATATCATCATCACCTTCATCATCTTTCTTTTTTTCATCGAAAAAACTCCTTTTTCTTCTTAATAGCACTCAATCTCAAAGAGCGAACGAGGGAAATGCAGAAGAAAATTTATGAACTTCTTTGGTAGGTTAACATTGAGAGGCAGGGTAATTTGTGGTTTTCAAATGATCAAGAATGACTTTAGTAATAAGCTAATGTAAATTAATCAAAGAATCGACCAAGCATTACAATCGGAAACCAGGGTTATTTTAAAATGGCTAGGCGAATGAAAAATAGAAGCACATGTACTTCTATTAGAATAAATACGGTAGTTGCTTTGTTAAATCCAAATGTAAATGTTTCAAATCTCCTTAACGATCAGTTATTATGTCGTAACCGTTAGTTTGAGAAATATACGTTAGGAATCATTCGTAATCGAAAATTCCACTTTAAGCTGTCTATTCCTTTCCTTTACCATTCCCAGCGGGCTCCAGATACATTTAATTGTCCCGTATCTGGCCCCATTTTGCCGATTTTGACCAATTTTCTTACCATATCTAGAAATTCACACAAATCTGCTCAACAATAATTTCCCCATCCACTATAAATAGAGATCCAAATTGCCATTCGAATCATTCACAAGTCAGCTTCTCTTCTCTACTTTGAAAACTCCTTTTTAAGCTTTTAACTTTAACAGCCTTCTAACATTCTTCCCTTTTTTCTTTTGATCCCTTTAATCTTTTAACTTTATTTTTTAATTAGCTAATCTGTTAAGAAGTAGTTTTTTTGATTCAACCTTTACTCCATTTTTCATTTTATGATACAATTTTAGTTCCTCAACTTTCCTCTCAAAAATCTCTTCGAAAATGTCCATTCAAGGCCCAGCTGATGCGAAGCGAGCCCGTGAAGAGGCTGTTGTTTTTCGGGTAAGGAAATAAACCACTAGAACAAAGAATATTCGGTTAAAGACTAACAAAATCAGTTCTTTTGAATAATACTGATCATTTGAAGTCTAAAAGCTTATGTCCTTCTCCAGTTTATCTCCATGGAAGACAAGGAATTCACCCTATCGAAGAAAGCGGCTCGACGCTGTGGAACCGTCAATCACTATGCTCAGGTTTGGAAAGAAAATCAATAGCATTTTTCTCTAATTTAGCATCGAAATCTATTAAATTTGACGATTCCCCAAGTTTAAATACCTTTTCCCGTTTCAGAACACCGGTTTGACAGACGATGAGGCGATCTCGAAAATGGAACCGATGGCTCTTCCAAATGTTTCCAATGAAAGCCTTTATTATGTGAGTTTTGAACGATTTTAATCGTTTATAAAATCAACTTTTTATCAGTTTCAAATCTAAATCAAATTCTTGAAATCATCTTTCAATTTCAGATCGTTCGTTGGTGTGAACAACACCGCAACTGTCCGGCTTGGGTAGAGGATCAATGGTGGGTGAATTCATTGATTTACTTGGATAACTAAATAAATTAAGATTTAGCAGCGAAGTTTGCAATTTGATTACTCGCAAAAAGCCTTAATTCTAACAATTCAGGTGGGAAAACGTATATAATGACAAGATGAGGCAATGGGAGAAAGAATTCATGGCCGAGATGACTTCCGATGCGCTTTATGATGTTTACATGGTTGGCTTTTAAATAATACATTATAAGCCTTTTCGATAATAAAATCAAAACATCTTACCCTTTCAATCTTAAAAATCCTTTACCAATTCCTTTTCCAGGCCGCCAGCTACCTGGACATCAAGTGCCTTCTCGATCATTGCGCTCAAGCATTCGCCGATATGGTCCAGGTGAGTTCAAAAGCTAGATTTGCATAAAAATAGCTATAAAAGCTTTGAGTAAGTCTTAAAGTCTTAACTCTTTTCAATTCAAATTTCAGGGAAAATCCCCGGAAGAGATCCGCGAGATTTGGGGAGTGGAGAACGACTTCACTCCTGAAGAGGAAGAGGAAATCAAGTGGGTTTTAAGAAGAATTGCGATTGGATAGAAGTTTGAACTGATCGAATCTTAATTTTGGCTTTATATTGTTTGCAATTTCAAAAAGAATAATATCAATGCAAGAATGGGTAGCTATAGAGTACATTGAGATAATGATTCGAGAGACTTTTACAGGTTAATCTGGAGTCGTACGGCTATCAACCCATTTAATTTTGATAATGAGTAGCATCTATGAGAAGTCCATGCGAAGAATTTCAAAGAAATATCTGAATTTCTATGTTTTCAGGTATGAGAACCCCTGGAAGGTGCTTTTTGACTATCAAGAGAAACTCGAGAAAGAAGAGGAAGCAGCCGCTGAACAAGGATCGTCGTTGGCTCTAGTCTGAGCTCTTCAAAAAACATTCTTGATCTCACTTATTGTATAGTTCTTTAGCTATGTTTTTAAAATGTTTTCCCCAAATTTTCTCCTAACTTTTGCCTTTTATTATATGAATAAATTTATTGTAGAAACTTTGTACCAGAAAGCGCAATATAACACAGAGAATACCAAGGTTTTGCTAGACATTTTTGTGCCTTTAAAAGTCAAGACTGATCTGTGTCAAGTGTAGCTTTTAAAAGAGTTCTTTTATCTCTTGAACACTGAAATTTGTTGGACTGACTCAAAGCTGCCATAAAATTAATGCAGCATTGCTTTTTGCGGAAGTTAGAGACAATTTAAAAGCCACTCAAATAAAGGATATTCCAACCGGTTTCTAGGGTTTGTAAACCGGATCAGGCTTAGGTCTGGAAACCAGATCAGGTTCTAAAACTACCAAAGACTTTTAGAGAAAAATGAATTCAAGTAAGGAGCCCTAAAACTTGTAACCCAGACACCTTGCGTTACAGGCCTCGAGAAAAATTTTTTTTTTTTCTTCTTTTTTTTTTTTCCCTTTCCCTTTTTTTTTTTTTTTTTCTCCTTTTTTTTTTTTTTTTTTTTTTTTTTTTTTTTTTTTTTTTTTTTTTTTTTTTTTTAAAAAAAAAAAAATTTTTCTCCCATTTTTTTTTTTTTTTTTTTTTTTTTTTTTTTTTTTTTTTTTTTTTTTAAACGTGATCTAACTAATGAACGTACAGATGCCTGTGACCTTTTAACACGAGTCACAGGCATGGGTTACAAGTTTTAGGCCTCCTTACTTGAATTCATTTTTCTCTAAAAGTCTTTGGTAGTTTTAGAACCTGATCTGGTTTCCAGACCTAAGCCTGATCCGGTTTACAAACCCTAGAAACCGGTTGGAATATTCTTTATTTGAGTGGCTTTTAAATTGTCTCTAACTTCCGCAAAAAGCAATGCTGCATTAATTTTATGGCAGCTTTGAGTCAGTCCAACAAATTTCAGTATTCAAGAGATAAAAGAACTCTTTTAAAAGCTACACTTGACACAGATCAGTCTTGACTTTTAAAGGCACAAAAATGTCTAGCAAAACCTTGGTATTCTCTGTGTTATATTGCGCTTTCTGGTACAAAGTTTCTACAATAAATTTATTCATATAATAAAAGGCAAAAGTTAGGAGAAAATTTGGGGAAAACATTTTAAAAACATAGCTAAAGAACTATACAATAAGTGAGATCAAGAATGTTTTTTGAAGAGCTCAGACTAGAGCCAACGACGATCCTTGTTCAGCGGCTGCTTCCTCTTCTTTCTCGAGTTTCTCTTGATAGTCAAAAAGCACCTTCCAGGGGTTCTCATACCTGAAAACATAGAAATTCAGATATTTCTTTGAAATTCTTCGCATGGACTTCTCATAGATGCTACTCATTATCAAAATTAAATGGGTTGAGAGCCGTACGACTCCAGATTAACCTGTAAAAGTCTCTCGAATCATTATCTCAATGTACTCTATAGCTACCCATTCTTGCATTGATATTATTCTTTTTGAAATTGCAAACAATATAAAGCCAAAATTAAGATTCGATCAGTTCAAACTTCTATCCAATCGCAATTCTTCTTAAAACCCACTTGATTTCCTCTTCCTCTTCAGGAGTGAAGTCGTTCTCCAATCCCCAAATCTCGCGGATCTCTTCCGGGGATTTTCCCTGAAATTTGAATTGAAAAGAGTTAAGACTTTAAGACTTACTCAAAGCTTTTATAGCTATTTTTATGCAAATCTATCTTTGGAACTCACCTGGACCATATCGGCGAATGCTTGAGCGCAATGATCGAGAAGGCACTTGATGTCCAGGTAGCTGGCGGCCTGGAAAAGGAATTGGTAAGGGATTTTTCAGATTTAAATGGTAAGATGCTTTGATTTTATTATCGAAAAGGCTTATAATGTATTATTTAAAAGCCAACCATGTAAACATCATAAAGCGCATCGGAAGTCATCTCGGCCATGAATTCTTTCTCCCATTGCCTCATCTTGTCATTATATACGTTTTCCCACCTGAATTGTTAGAATTAAGGCTTTTTGCGAGTAATCAAATTGCAAACTTCGCTGCTAAATCTTAATTTATTTAGTTATCCAAGTAAATCAATGAATTCACCCACCATTGATCCTCTACCCAAGCCGGACAGTTGCGGTGTTGTTCACACCAACGAACGATCTGAAATTGAAAGATGATTTCAAGAATTTGATTTAGATTTGAAACTGATAAAAAGTTGATTTTATAAACGATTAAAATCGTTCAAAACTCACATAATAAAGGCTTTCATTGGAAACATTTGGAAGAGCCATCGGTTCCATTTTCGAGATCGCCTCATCGTCTGTCAAACCGGTGTTCTGAAACGGGAAAAGGTATTTAAACTTGGGGAATCGTCAAATTTAATAGATTTCGATGCTAAATTAGAGAAAAATGCTATTGATTTTCTTTCCAAACCTGAGCATAGTGATTGACGGTTCCACAGCGTCGAGCCGCTTTCTTCGATAGGGTGAATTCCTTGTCTTCCATGGAGATAAACTGGAGAAGGACATAAGCTTTTAGACTTCAAATGATCGGTATTATTCAAAAGAACTGGTTTTGTTAGTCTTTAACTGAATATTCTTTGTTCTAGTGGTTTATTTCCTTACCCGAAAAACAACAGCCTCTTCACGGGCTCGCTTCGCATCAGCTGGGCCTTGAATGGACATTTTCGAAGAGATTTTTGAGAGGAAAGTTGAGGAGCTAAAATTGTATCATAAAATGAAAAATGGAGTAAAGGTTGAATCAAAAAAACTACTTCTTAACAGATTAGCTAATTAAAAAATAAAGTTAAAAGATTAAAGGGATCAAAAGAAAAAAGGGAAGAATGTTAGAAGGCTGTTAAAGTTAAAAGCTTAAAAAGGAGTTTTCAAAGTAGAGAAGAGAAGCTGACTTGTGAATGATTCGAATGGCAATTTGGATCTCTATTTATAGTGGATGGGGAAATTATTGTTGAGCAGATTTGTGTGAATTTCTAGATATGGTAAGAAAATTGGTCAAAATCGGCAAAATGGGGCCAGATACGGGACAATTAAATGTATCTGGAGCCCGCTGGGAATGGTAAAGGAAAGGAATAGACAGCTTAAAGTGGAATTTTCGATTACGGTATCTTTCCTAAACTATCGGTTATTGGTCGAATAATAACTGAGGAGATTTTGAAACATTTACGCTTGCATTTAACAAAGCAACTACCGTATTTATTCTAATAGACTTTGTTCTAAAGTACATGTGCTTCAAATTTTTCATCTGCATCGCCAAAATTGCTTCTATTAGAGGCTGTGCTTCTACTTTTCCCCCCTCATTGCTTCTATTTTTCAATTCCATAAAGAACAATCAAATAGATAGGTAGCTAGAAAGAAACCCTTTCAAATATCAAACAAAATTTTAAGATTAATTTGTTCATTCATGTAAGTAAAACAACATTTGTTTAAGAATATAAAAAATAATTTTAAACAAACTTATCAATCATTTAAATCATCTCCGATAGGATTTCCGTTGACATCACCGACTTCAATAGAGGCATCACTGTCATCGTCCTTGTTTTCCTTATCTTTACCGAGCTCGATTTCCTCTATCAATTCGGCAGCTCATCATGTCTGGCCTGTTGCAATTTGGAAGCCCCTTCCGGAACTTCTGGAACGGCACCGTCAGCCTAAAATAAAAGACATTAATAAAGTAAAATCTTAGCTTGAAGTGTTAAGCTTTAACCTTTTACCTTACCTTAAAGCAGGAAATTTGATCATCTGCAGATCCATCGCTGTTATTTGTAATCCCACAAGTTTTGAACGATTTGGCGATAAGATCCATATCCAAACTGTCCCAGGCATCGACGACCCATTGCCATTGAAATTTCTGATCGACTTGAACCTTTAAAATAAAAGCCCTTTCTTCCAGCTTCATTTTGGTGATAAAGATGTCGCATAAATGGTAAAAGCAGCTTTACTTGGATTGGATAAAAATAAAGACAAGAAAGGTAGAAAGAGAAAGGGGATACGTTTTAGAAAACGCTTTATTTAGGAACGTTTTAGAAAACGCTCTAATAACTGCTTTACAGTTTCAATATTATAAAACCTTCCGCCCAGTTCCGAGGTGTCAAAGTCTGTCGTTATTGATAATTTAGATTTTCAGTTCACTTTTGGAGTTGAACTGACCAATTGACCAGAATTGTGCAGAAGAGTGGCCCTTTTCTGTGAAATCTTATTTAATGTTTTGATTTGAATATCTGATTCTCTTGTCCCGCCTCTAAAAGATCGCTTTTATGATAAAAGGGACGAAGCCCACTTTAGATTGTCTCTTCGTATTGCTTTTCGTATTGCTATGAAACACTGAACCAACGATTGATTCTATTCTTTTGTATTTTCTCGCTAGATTAGTATTGTGCTAAATTCGGAATAAATATCTAATAATCATTGTCCCCAGCGGTATTCTCTCACACACTGCACAAGAATCTTGTCTCTATTTTTGTCAAATCTATTCACTTTTATATCTTTCGATATCCTTTGTGAGTCCTTACAGACATAAAATAGTTAGATTGAATTAATAGAGACAAAATTACGGTCGAAAGGGAAAGGGGACAAGGTTTAAAATGGGTTTAAAGAGATAAACTCACTCTACTGCTCAACGTCGATTCATATGGCGCTTCCAGCCAGCATTTGCGGGAAATCGCTATTTGGAAGATGATAAAGAAAAATAGGAGAGCTAGTTTCATTAAAACAATGAAATATTTACGGTGGTATACACTGAGAGTGACCAAGAGACCATTCAGCGTATGAATCAAGACAATATGATTAACACTTCACAAAAGCAGTCTTAACATTTGCTGATTACGAAAAAAATGCAGAAAGAAGTGTTAACGGGTCAATTGAGAGACTTGTTTAAAGGAAAATTTCTAAATTTCTCAAAAAAGAACTCAATGTTATTAGACGAGAAGAAAAATTAGCAAATTGACTCTAAAAACTCTACAAGATCAGTTATAGATTGGCTCTAAAAACGCTACAAGATCAGCTATAGATTGACTCTAAAACTCTACAACATCAGCGATAGATTGGCTCTAAAAACTCTACAAGATAAGCTCATGATTTTATAAAAAAGCAAAACATTTCGAGCAGGATGAGATTCGAACTCACGCGGGGAGACCCCATTTGATTAGCAGTCAAACGCCTTAACCACTCGGCCACCTGCTCACAAAATGACGGGTCTCAAAAAAGGTAATGAAACAAATCCAAGGAATCGGTCTCATGATGATTGGCTTTCAAAAGGTTTTCTAAAAGTTCCCTAAAGATTACCTAAAAGTTTAGCAAGTTATTTTAAAGTAAAGAATGTTTTTCTCAAGGAGAAAAGGTTCAAAATTATAAAAATCTCGAAGTGGAAATGTTTTTATCAAAGTAAATCGAATGCATGGATTTCAATTGAACAAATCAATAGGTCAATCGAAAATTTTCATCATTACTATTGATTGATTTAAAAACTGATTTAAAAACCATCATCATTAAAACATCATTGATTTAAAAACCTTATAAATGGCAAAGAATGAATTTACTATTGGAAGCAATAACTTTTTTTCAATATTGTTAAATGTCTATGCTTCATTTTTTTCATTTTTTTCATTTTTTTTCGACATTCTCTTTGTGATACAACTCAATTTTATTTGATAAATTGAAATTCTAAAAATGAAACTGCATTTTGTTTCCATTTAACGCTATTCGTCTTTAAAAGCTGAGAAAATCGAATAGTCTTTACTGGTTTATTCAACCAATCCAAGCAATCAATCTCACAATACAGAAACAAATCCTATTGAAACCCTAACCTAAACTAAACTACCTAATGCCATAACAGGACCTTCAAATTCTTAACTTAAGCATAACTCTTGAAAGTTAATGATCATTATTTTGTGGAGTGATGATGCTGGTCAATGAAAGAAAATAATCGATTTTAATGGCTGCAGTTTATGTGCAAGTCAACCCGTAGTTTAATTTCAACGGACAAGGTGCGTTACATTGCTCTGCGCTTGGGATAACTCCGAACCTGCGACATGTATAGATTCTAAAGAAGGGAAAAATGAATAAAATTTTAAAAATTTGATTTAATAAAGCAAAAAATATGATAAGGAACCGAAAAATTGATTCCAAACCCTTTCAAAACGAAGCTTTTACTAAAATTTGATGTTTAATTCGTTAAGCAAACGATTTAAAACAATGTTTTATTCAAAAACAATTCCAAAATCTAAATTAAAGCAGCTTTATTACAAAAAAATCCCAATTGATAGCAAAAAATGGTAAAATTCCAATTAAAATCAATCGATTTTGGCTGAAAATCAAAATTTTTCGAATCAAATCGAATTGAACCGATTTAATTCGGAATTTAAACCGAAACAATACTGAAAACCAGGTCTATTAGACAGTAATAGAACGATTTACTTTTTGATCCAACATCTCTAACTTTAAAAGAAATAGATGGGCCTTCAACTATTGGGTTGGGGAGAATGAGTCGGCGCCGAAAATCAAAAAAATGCCTAAAACTTCTATTCGACTTCGTCAAATAATATGCGTTTGATATCAGTAGAATGGTTAACTAATTCTCTACAAAATGACATTTAAAAGAAAATTCAAACAGCGCCTCCGCTCAAGAAAAAGCCATTTTTTCACAAAAACTACAAACTGCCATCTAGAAAAAACCATTGGTGGGATCTTCCTGCAAGTTTGGCAACTTAAGTAATTGAATGTGCTCTATCTTTTTATATAAACACCAAAGAAGGTTTATGTGAAAGAAACTGTTCAAATGATGAGTCGCGCTCTTTGCCATTTTGACTAGCTGTGTTTGGGAGTCCATAAACTCCACGAAAGAAAAGCTTTGTGGAATCTCTCAAAAGTCATTTTGTAGAGAAATAGTGGATCCTTTTGATGAAACCAAACGTATGTTTAAAGAGGGCTTTGTGTGTGCAAAAAGTTCCTTTAAAGTTTGGCGCCGACTCATTCTCCCCAACCCAATAGAAGAGAAAGCTTTGAAACTCTTTTGACTTTAGCTTTTTTACCGACAGCTCTTACTTTTAAAGCTCTTACTTTACCGGTAAACCTTTACAAAACATTTTTATGATATTTTGGTTTGAGAGTCAAGGTTTTAGAGATTAACCTTCCGCATTTTGGATCAAAAAAACCTTTAAAAGCGGTGTTAAAATGTGAAAAATTAAACGTTCTTAATGGAAATTCATTTGATTTTGAAAAAACTCCGAAACTTTGTCTTTAAATCTTTAAATACTTCTCGTCGTCGACATTTCGAGGAATTTTCGTGAATGGATTGATTTTTGCGTGTGAGACTTTTAATGTCATTCTAAAATTTCCCTTTTCTCAGAATTTAACAATGCTCGCACATGTTAATTGATTAAATTAACGCTTAAAACACTTTCAAAAGTCGATCACAACTTTGAAAATTGTGTGTAAACGTTTACGTTTCTAGTTTTAAGAAATTATATTTCTTAGTCTATTCTTTAAATATTACATCTTTATTTTGTATTCTCGGAGAGTATGTTTACATTATAGCTTTTTATTGACTCATTGTATATTCCACAAATCCGGTCTAAATTCCTTTATAACGATAACGATTGTGAGACTTTAACAGTATCATTAACACTCATTTTGAACAGTAGTCAACGTTTATTCATTCACTATAAAACGAGCCGTAAAATAAAAAGTTCAAAGTAAGAAAAATAAGTTCTCCTCGCCGTATATTCCACAAAATCCGGTCTAAATTCATTTTCTTTATGAAAGCGAAGAGAAAACATAGAAAATCCCAGAAATTTTGATCTTTAAAGCCAATCTGTTGAGAAATAGGACCAATTTTTGTGGAAGACCAAACGAGAAACGCAATCGACACTTCTCGGAAAGATTCCAGTTTAATTTCCATATTTTTCCATTTTTATATCCCTAACTTACAAACAAGGGTTCAGTTCACCAATTCCGAAGTCCAATACTTATTTCAGTCAATCATTAGTCCAGTCAGTCCAGTCAATCAATATTATTGGAAGCTTTTGGCTGGTTTGGTGGATCTTGCCCCAATGAAAAATGTTTACATCAAAATTTCTTTACTATCTTTTACTACTAAACATCAATCATTCATCATCAATCAATAAATCCGATCTAAATTCGTTTTCTTTATGAAAGCGAAGAGAAAACATAGAAAATCCCAGAAATTTTGATCTTTAAAGCCAAACTGTTGAGAAATAGGACCAATTTTGGTGGAAGACCAAACGAGAAACGCAATCGACACTTCTCGGAAAGATTTTTCCAGTTTAACTTCAATCTTTTTGGTCTGATTTCTTATAAATCACCGCCTTGATCTGTCTGGATAAAAGCGTTCAAATCTCGAACGAGAAACTTTGTCGGTGGCTCAACCTGTGTAATTTTTGGTTTCTACCAATTTTCCAGTCCAAACCAGTCAGCCAATTTGGATCTGACTTGCTACTAGGAGCACAAAATTCGTTTAAAACAACATGTTAGGTTTTTAAGGTTAGGCTAAAGCCCTAAAACATTTATTCATTGACTATAAAACGAGCCGTAAAATCTAAATTTCAAATAATAAAAATAGGTTCTCTTTGCCGTATATTCCACAAAATCCGATCTAAATTCCTTTTCTTTGTGAAACCGAAGAGAAAACACAAAAAGTGCCAAAAATTTTGATCTTTAAAGTCAATCTGGTGAGATAAAAGGACCAATTTTTGTCGAGGACCAAACGAGAAACGCAAGCGACACTTCTCGGCAAGATTTTTCCAGTTTAATTTCCATATTTTTCCATTTTTATATCCCTAAAATTCAGCTTTTGCTTTGAATAAATGTATCTGACTAACATCGATAGCTTTCTCAGCTTTCTCAGCTTTCTCAGCTTTCTCAGCTTTCTCAGCTTTCTCAGCTTTCTCAGCTTTCTCAGCTTTCTCAGCTTTCTCAGCTTTCTCAGCTTTCTGCTCTCGCCCGCTTCCAGCCAGCTTTCAGCTTTCCGCCGCTTTCAGCTTTTAGCTTTCTCAGCTTTCTCAGCTTTCTCAGCTTTCTTTCTTTGAACATCTCATAACATATATTGAATGTATTAAATGCAGAAATGACTGGTTTAAGTTCAAGACTTTAAAATTGACTAACTAGGTGTCCAGTGACAGGTCAATGTTGCTAACAGCTTGCAGAAGACGGACATGAACTTAAAGCTTTACTGATATTTCGATCGCAACTCTTTTGCGTAGACGATTTTGAATGATTTCTAACTTTTGCCAGACCGGGGCAAAAAGCGAGAACGCCTCTCAAAACCATGACTTTTATGACCACAATTTTTCGCCTCGTCATCTTGCAAAGCAGGCATGACATAAATAGGCTATTATGTGAGGGCTGAGTCAAGAAAAGTAAGCAAAAAAAATTCTCACCACACCCCCACTCCTTATCAATCGAATCACAAGCCGGTGATTTTTAAGATTACCACAAAACCCTGTCTCCTCTGATCTCTTTGGTCTTTTCTCTTTGGAAATGCTGAAACGATTGATAGTTGTTGCATTTTATTTCACGAATTTTGTTTTTTTGATTACGGTAAGTGGATTTTGTGTGGACTTTATGGAAAATGTGAATAAGTCGTCTCTCAGTCACGTAGTTATGTAGTCAGACATGCAATTTGGTGCCAAACCTGCAATCCAATTCCATAATCTAAACCAGTACCATCAAAACCTATCCATCAGTCAGTCTAGTGTACCAAGCATTGCAACCAGCCAAGACTGTCAAGAGAGTTGTTGAACCCGCCAAAACCCAGCTTCAAGCCTTTAGGACCGAACTTAGAGTTAGATCAAGGAGTTTTATGTGCCAGATCTTCAGTAATGGCACGTGCCGGTGTAGCTTATTGGTAGAGCCTTCTTCCGGTCAGCGAGAAGTCGCGGGTTTGAATCCCGGCGCTGACCGTTTTTTGTATTCCCATAAAAGGCGTGTTTAACTTGACACTAAGCAAGACAAGGCAAAAGACTTTATGAAAGTTGACCATTTAGAACAATGAGATAGATTTATGCCCTTAGATGGAAAATGCCTACTGACGAGCAATATTGTCTGTTGATTAAAAGCTTTAGAATGCCACTGAAACGGCGTACACTTTTGATCTCTGTCGACCAGAACCGGTCTACCAATTTCATGATCTAACGGGTGATTTCCTTGAAAGCATCAATGATACAGTTCTCTATCATTTGAATTCAACGTCGTGTAAGAGGTAAAAAAGCTCAAGCTCTAGCTCAAGCTCTAGCTCAAGCTCTAGCTCAAGCTCTAGCTCAAGCTCTAGCTCAAGCTCTAGCTCAAGCTCTAGCTCAAGCTCTAGCTCAAGCTCTAGCTCAAGCTCTAGCTCAAGCTCTAGCTCAAGCCCAGCCAAGCTCTAGCTCAAGCTCTAGCTCAAGCTCTAGCTCAAGCTCTAGCTCAAGCTCTAGCTCAAGCTCTAGCTCAAGCTCTAGCTCAAGCTCTAGCTCAAGCTCTAGCTCAAGCTCTAGCTCAAGCTCTAGCTCAAGCTCTAGCTCAAGCTCTAGCTCAAGCTCTAGCTCAAGCTCTAGCTCAAGCTCTAGCTCAAGCTCAAGTTCATCACTTTCTTTTAGAGAAATAACTGGCTTCTATCAAGAAAGCGTTAACGGCTATGAATTTGAGGTGTTTGAAGGAGGAGGGATGACTGGAACGAACATCAATATGACAGAGTGAGCATTTTTGCTAATAAGGGAATGATCTCAAGTTGAGAAAGACCCAGTGCATCTTCTGAAATGAATATCAGAAATCCTAATCTTCATTCTAACCAATTAGAAGCTTCAAAGTTGTCAACACTGAATTTTAAGCTTTAGTTTATTATTCTAAAACAACTATTGGGTTGATGGAAAAGTCCTTTCCGATTTTTTGGGAGAGTACCTTAAATTTGTCCAATTTTGACTTTTTTATAGCTCATCCTAAAGCTGAATTCAAGACGGATCGTTTGGTAAAAACCGTTTTGAGATATCTCTTTTCTAAAAGTTTTTACAGCTATTTTAGTAAAGGGCGGCCAGAGCCAAAAAATGGCTGTTTTCACGTTTCGTTAGTTTTCCGTGCAGAAACCTAGGCTAAAAACATGTGTTTCGTGATCGGCGTCAAAAATAACGGTTTTTACCAAACGATCCATCTTGAATTCAGCTTTAGGATGAGCTATAAAACGTCAAAATTGGACAAATTTAAGGTACTCTCCCAAAAAATCGGAAAGGACTTTTCCATCAACCCAATAGATACAATTCTTCTTGTAAGAATACTGATTATCACGCTACACTTATTCATTTGAAGTGTTCAAATCAGTCAATCAGCTCCAGCAAATCCAAAACAGCTAGAGACTATTTCCTTGCAAGAATGACTATCAATTTGCTGTTTACCTAATCTGTTTAAGGCATTGATAAAGTAAAACAAGTGATTAGAGCAGGTTAAAATATAAATTGTAACCATTAGATGAAGTATCTTTACTTTATTGAATCAATCCTTAGATACCTTGGTGGCACAAAATTCACACATGATGCTGGAGAGATCAGCGTTCGAATCAAATTAACCGGCAACCCAATCATATCGTTTCACATGCTTTTCACAGCAAGTAAGTTTAATCAAAAGAAACCCGATAACCGATAAGCTTTAGTTGAAGGATCCGTGCAATTCTTTGGTGGATCTTACTATCACACGAATGGCGAGTTGCTGTCGATCCTAAAATACGATCCAAGTCCAATCGTTATCTACATGGTAAAAGCGATATTCAGCTTTATTTCTAGACTTTTATAGGGTCATTCGAGCTATCAAATCGAGAACGGGATTGGTCTCGAGTACTCTGGAGATCTCAAGTTCGAAATGTACCACGGACTGAGCTTGGATCAAAATGATCTCATTTATGGGTAAGTTGTGTTTTGATTCACATCTACTAGTGGATTTTCCATCCTGAAACCTCTAAAAATCTATGAGCCTAAGCCCAAGCCTACGCCTAAGCCTAAGCCTAAGCCTAAGCCTAAGCCTAAGCCTAGAGCCTACAGCCTAAAGCCTAAGCCTAAGCCTAAGCCTACAGCCTAAGCCTAGGCCCAAGCCTAAGCCTAAGCCTGAGCCTGAGCCTGAGCCTAAGCCTAAGCCTAAGCCTAAGCCTACAGCCTAAGCCTAAGCCTAAGCCTAAGCCTAAGCCTAAGCCTACAGCCTAAGCCTAAGCCTAAGCCTAAGCCTAGAGCCTACAGCCTAAAGCCTAAGCCTAAGCCTAAGCCTACAGCCTAAGCCTAAGCCTAAGCCTAAGCCTAGAGCCTACAGCCTAAAGCCTAAGCCTAAGCCTAAGCCTACAGCCTAAGCCTAGGCCCAAGCCTAAGCCTAAGCCTGAGCCTGAGCCTGAGCCTAAGCCTAAGCCTAAGCCAGATCTTACTCCTGGTTTTCTGAGCACCGGGCTGACTTCACAGATAGTACCTGTATCTAGGCCAGTATTTGTAACTGTCCTGGCCTGATTAATAAAAGTACTTTAGCCAGACAGAAACTAGAGCCAGAGAGAGCTAGAAGCCATGTCTAAGCCTTGAATCTGATTAAACCTGGCCATAAACCAGACTAGAACCTAATCCTGACTCAGCCATACTAATGCAAACAAGACCAGAGTCATCTGATAGTCTGACTTCTGTTTTGACCTGACTTTGCTTCAGTTTTGCCCACTGCAGTCCCTAGTGGGCAAAACTGAAGCAAAACTATAGCCAAAACTGAAGCCTGGGTCGCTTAACTTACAAGGAAAGATTAATTGAGCCGGTCAAATGCTATCCGACCTATACAATTCGACGCAGAATCTTATGCTGATTCCGAATATATAATCTGTTTTTGCTAAATGACAATCTGCCAGGAGTTTTAAGCGTCTAAAGTTTTGTTAGGACTCTGAAAATGTGGTAAATTAGATCTTCTCAGCCAGTTGATCTTCCATTCCATAGCATTTGGCCAGGTCAGCCGGTTGACCTTCCCTTGTTACACTGGGCTCTAGGCTTAGGCTTAGGCTTAGGCTTAGGCTTAGGCTTAGGCTTAGGCTTAGGTCAACTGGTCAACTGAAGGTCAGCCTCCTCAGCCAGTTGACCTTTCCTTCCATAGCATTTGGCCAGGTCAGCCAGTTGACCTTCCCTTGTTATACTGGGCTCTAGTGCTCGATTAAGACAATCCTGAGAGATTATGAGTACCTCAGTAAAGTGGGATTTTACTCTTCTATGCAAACAAACCTCAATACACTCTTTAGTGAAAACCTGACAGCTACAGGCTGCACAGCTCAAAATATTCGCCCTCGATTTGTTTATGGAAGCTATGTGGTTTTGAAATTACTGAAAACGACCGCCACTGGAACGATCAAGTACACCCACAAGACGAATTGTAAGCTTTTCCAGCTTTTCCAGCTTTTCCAGCTTTTCCAGCTTTTCCAGCTTTTCCAGCTTTTCCAGCTTTTCCAGCTCCTCAGTTCAAAATTTTCAGCAAACTATATGATGATGAGTATCCCAATGACCGCGACGAACTCATTGGAGACTCCACCTTGTCCAAAAGTCAACAAAGCTCAATTGCACGAGTGTAGTTACACGTTGAGCTATGTGAGTTGAATTTGGCTTGGAAATTTGATCTAAGAATCAGGCTCTCTATGAAAAAAGCTAATACCTAACATAAAGAAAATTTTGGCTCAAAAAAAGTAAAGAGAATTTTGTCTCCAGGGCGGCTCAGGAAATCGTCGAGCTATTGGCATGGACCTTCTCGCTCCAATCAGAACCGATTCATACCTACAAATTATGGAGTACAATGGAGAGACTCTTCTCAGTGACAATACGTAACTCACACAGGGATTTTTCTGATGATCTATCAACCTTTTTAGGTACTACTCAAACTCAAGTTACTGTGGCTTCATGACAAATGCCACATCAGCAATCGTGAATTATTATTACCAGTGCAAGCCGGACACCCTAACGCAAAGGGAATTCTTTTTTCAGTGAGTTTAAACTGATAGCTGATTCAAAATACTAGTTTTGTTCAAAATACTGATACCAATTTGAAACGCAATCAAAGCTAGGATCAAAGGATACTGTAACTGTCTGGATACTGTAACTGTCAGGATACTGTACCTGTCAGGACACTGTAACTAATACAAAAGCTACTGCATTCCTTATCTAATCGTTGATTCAAGTTGAATTTTTAGGTATCGTGTAGGCGATGAGATCCCTGATGGTGATAAAGCTGGTGGCTCGATCTCGTATCTCATTTCATTGGTGCTATTTTTTGTTCTCGTTTCGATTTATTGAACTTTTTGTTTCTTTGAAATAAAATCAATTGAAACTTTGAATAAAACTTGGGTAAAAAGAGCAAAATAATCAAGCTATGCTTTGTTTTATAATTTTGTTTTTTTTTTTTTAATAGTTCCGGTAGTTTTTACCCACGCTTTAGCGCGCAGAAAGTTGAAAAACGCTACTTTTGCGTTCAAAAGGCATCAACTTTTCACAGATTCACCCAATTGATCTCGTTTTGGTGTCAAAATGTGCACAAGACCCTTGAGCATAAAGTTTGGTATATGACGCTCAACAAAATTTCCTTTTCGCCGAGAACCAGCCTGTAAAAGAGAGGGCAATTTTGGCGTTTAGATGGAAAAATAGTGATTTTTTCGATTTTTTTCGATTTAAAAAAATCTGTCAGACGGATTCGAAAAATTCTTTCAAATTTGAATTCAGGACATTTTTTTGCATCAAATAGCACTTACCGTGAGCAAATTTAACGGCGATCGCATTTTTCAATCTTTGTCAATCTTAAATCTTCAAATTCAACTGTCCTTGAAGTCAAAAAGCATTGGAAAAACTTTTCACTAGATCTAGAAACTAGAACTAGAACTTTAACTATCCTCTAGCTAGCCTTAAACATCTGCAAAATTCAAGAAGAATTGGTTTTTATTGACATTGTCTTTTCAACTATTGCCGTTTATCAATATGTGACGGTCTAGCAGGTCTAGCATGGTCTAGCATGGTCTAGCATGGTCTAGCATTTCCAGCATATCACGTCAGACTCTATACCCCGTTCTCTACAACTTTTCCCTAAGCCAACCATAAACGAATATCAGTGATAAATGTGAAAATTGAGATTTGATCAATTTTTTTGATGACTAATTTTGATGGATTTCGCTTAAAAATCAATTTTCGAATTTCTGGTAGGTTATGATGGAAAAATCTTAGCTAAATTCTATCCAGAGTACATAAAACAATCCAAATCTTGTTTAATTACGATGCAAATTCATTGCAATTCCACTAATAAAACATTTTGTTCAAAAGCTTTTCAACATTTGCCAACACTTCTTCCAACTAACTAACTTAAGGTCTATTTTCCAGCTTTTGATGGATTTCGCTTAAAAATTAACTCTCGAATGACTGGTAGGTGCAAAAATGTTAGCTACATTCTAGAACTACCAAGTTTTTAATATATAAAATTTCATTTGATTTTAAGTTCATGAAAAGTGAATGCGCTCAATGAAAAATGCGGAAATTGAGCGTTTTTTGATGTTTAATTTGAATCCAGATTTTGATCTGCTCTTCTGGCTACATTTACCAACCAAAAGCTTCTGAATTGGATGCATACAACTCATTTAACAAGCTCTCGAATGAGCTCAACGGCTCAACTTTTCCCTAAGCTCCTCTAGCTCTATAAATTCATTGAACTTAATCGTTTTAAACAAGCATAATGCAAAATTCTTTTGAAGAAAGCCTTTTTCAACGAAAATCATCAAAAATGGTTGCGTGCCGAAGGGATGCCGCGTTGAGCTCATTCGAGAGCTTGTTAAATGAGTTGTATGCATCCAATTCAGAAGCTTTTGATTTATAAATGTAGCCAAGAATTTGGGCTTCAAATCTCTATATAACACTTAACACTTTTGAAATCAGTTAGACATTTGTTAGCTGTTTTTAGAAAAAGTTTTCCGCGAACTTTTTACGCACCCTGTATATTGTATAAAGTTTAATGAAAAAAATGGAAATTTTATCAAAAATGGAAATGGTAAATTGGAGTAAATGGAGGAAAGCCTTTAATCCAATAATTTCCGGTTCTTTCTCTTAACAGCTTGCTTGATTTGGAACGACTGTTGGGTTTAAACTTTCAAGCTTTTGAAAAAAAGAAATGGAAGAAAATTTGTATTGAGACAGACAAGGTCAAAAACCTTCGATATTGAATTTCAAGATGTAAGGAAAATGATGATCGCAAATAGATCTTTCGCCTTCTCGTGGTGACCAATATTTATTGACTTTCTCGATTGTAAATCTTGAAAAAAGCTATGGAAAAAAACCAGCACAGGAATTTTAACGATCAGACCATGAAAAGATTCGGTTTTTCAATAAAATAGGCCAAATCTAAAACGCTATGCAAACTTTGAGATTATCAATTGTGGTTTTATATCGGTCTAGACATACCGTTGTATTGGAATAGAAAGAACAAGGTCAAAAACCTTCAACAATTAATTTTTTCGATCAAATGAACCATATAGGAGCTAAATCCGAACCAAATAGGAACTATAAAGTAACCAAATAGGAACTATAAAGGAACTAAATAGGTGATTGTGATTTTAGATCCGTTTAGAGCAATCCAAGCAATCCGTTTAGAGCATCGTAATCATCTTTTAAAGAACAAAAACCTCACTACAGATCTACAGCTAATTGTGGTTTTGTTTTCACAATACAAACCTTGAGATGAGTTCTTAAAGTGCTGAAATTTTATTCAACAATTTATGAAATCACTTCTGAATGCAGAAGAAATCTGTCGCTTAAAAACAGACCGAAAGATTTCAAAAGCTTTGCCTAAAAGTTTCTTAAATCATTTCATTCTTTTCTTTGCTCTTTGTCTTTTCGGATTTAAGCATTTATCCCAGTTTTCAAATGAATTAGCTTTCAATAAGGGTTTTGAAAGAGCTTAGTTGTGACTTTTGTTGTCAGTTGTGCGGTAATATTGTGACTTTTGGCTGTCAAGAAAGAATAAAATGATCTTATTGTATGTTTAGTTTAAACTATTTATAAGAAATACAGAGGAAAATCCTTCTGGAGTCGTTCTGGTTTTTTTCAAAGTAACAAGGAAAGGCAACAGTAAGACGTAGTCAATTGATAGACCATTCGACACAGAATTTCACGCTAATTCCGAATCTGTTTTCCGCTTTTGCAACATGGCTTTCTAGAAAAAGTTATACGTGTTTTGAATTCTAGGGTGAAAATGCGAAAAGTGCCGAATAGGGATACCTTTATAAGGGTTCTTTCACGGGTGTCAAACGTGACTTGATGGTGTAGTGGGTAAAAGACTTGCGTACAGAACGAACGCTGCATTCTTTTGCAACATAAAGAAACATAAAGAAACATAAAGAAACATAAAGAAACATAAAGAAACGTAAAGAAACGTAAAGAAAAATGTTTACAGATAGAAAGAACCATGTCAAAAACCTTCAACAATGAATTTTTTCGATAAAATAAACCAAATCTAAAACGCTAGGCAAACTTTGAGATTATCAATTGTGTTTTTTTATAGTGGCTTAGACATCCAAGCAATTAAAAATTAAAAACTTATCGTAATCACCTTTTAAAGAACAAAAACCTCACTACAGATCTACAGCTAATTGTGCTTTAATTTTAACAATACAAACTTTGAAATGATTTTAATGTTGTTAAGTGTTGTTAAGTGTTGAAAAGTGTTGAAAAGTGTTGAAATTTTATTCAACACTGCACTCATTTCTGAATGCAGAAGGAAATAACGAAATCTGTCGCCTAAAAATAGACCAAAAGATTTCAAAAGCTTTGCATGTTTTGAAATTCATATGGCTTTTCTAAGCGATTGTCGACTTTTCCGGTCAAAAGAGGACAAATTTTAGTCTAAATGGGAAATAGGAGCAATTTTTTAAAAGTTTCTTCGTAATTTCAAAGTTTCTTCGCCTTTTCATTTCACATTTATCCGAATTTTTCACGTTTAACTCAATAGAAACTGATCTAACAATCAAAATTCTGAAAATTTTCAAGATTTTATTAGAGTTAGTTATAGGTTTAGTCTTAAATTTGGCTTTGTGACTTGGCTAAGCTTAGGAAATTCGAAAAAAAACAACTCTGTTCAAGATTTACAAAGCTTATTTCAGTTTTGACTATTTTTATTAGGTACATGCATAAGAAATGCGGATTTCAACATTTTCATAAATTTCCAACGATAGAAACCTGATGTTATAAACTAGAATCGATGAATGTTATAAACTATTTGAGTTGTATCTAAACTAAAGTTGTAAATCTCCTCTACAAAATAGGCTAAAACGTGTTTCAATTGATCGAGCCATAGAAGAAATTTCGAGGGCGAAATGCGAGTCACCAAAAAAGGAATCGAGTCACTTTAGGGACAAGTTTAGTGTGCTCAAAATAGAGTTAGCTTCCCAAAATTGAAGATTTAAACAAAAAGAAAGGATAACTATATATCAATTCATTAAAAACTGATCAATTGATCGAAGCATTGAAGAAATCTCGAGGGCGAAATGCGAGTCACCAAAAAAGGAATCGAGTCACTTTAGGGACAAGTTTAGTGTGGTCAAAATAGCCTATTTTGTAGAGGAGATTTACAACTTTCAAATAGTATATAACATTCATCGATTCTAGTTTAAAAAAATCAAGTTTCTATCGTTGGAAATTGATGAAAATGTTGAAGTCCGCGGATGAAAATGTTGAAATCCGCATTTCTTATTCATGTGCCTAATATTAGGTCAAGGCGTCAAACCCAGCTCAATTTTTGTATGATTCACGAAGCTTTATCATTATTATTATGCACTTCATTATCAAATGATTTCAAAATTCAATGAAAGCTAGCAGTGATAACGGTAGTTTTATGGATCTTGAGAAAAGTTTGAAAAAACATACCCGATACCGAAGCTCCATTAGCAATTGCTCTTTCCGCATCTGGCAACCATTCTTTCATTAATGATCTCAATTTACACATGTCCTTGAATGATAAAAAAAAATAAACTAACAAAAAATAAAAAAACAAAAAAATTAAAAAACCAAAAAAAAAAAAAAAATTGTGGATTATAATTTTTTTAAAGTAAAGCCTTTTTACCACTTAACAAAAAATAATAATTAAAAAAGTATTTTTTAAAAGCCCTTTGTTCCACACCCCAAGATTCATCGCTTCAAATCATCGGTTTTCAAAAAGTGCCCTTTTTTGGTCACTCGCATTTCGCCCTCGAAATTTCTTCAATGCTTCGATCAATTGAAAAACGTTTCAGCCTATTTTGTAGAGGAGATTTAGAACTTTC